CCGCAGAGAAAGGTGCCGGCCCAGAGTGGACCACGCCGGGTGAACGGCCTCAGAGCCTTGTGGTCGTCGCTGCCCAGCGCAGCCAGCCAGCCGGTAAACAGGCGGCGCGATCAAAACACGGCCCACGCCGGGGGCCGGGCAGCGAACAGACAGCGGAGAAGGGCCGCCCGCCGAGCACGGGCGACGAGTGCACTCTCGACAACTGAGGCGGTAGATTAGATTGGCTGAACATTGCACAACTGTATAGGTGTCACAAAACATAGGCACGTGGCTGTCGGACGTGTGCGATGACTGCTCGAGGAAGGATGAGGCGATTGCTCGATTTATTACAAACAAGTACGGCCATGAATACATTTTTCTCTCACAAATTTGTACTTCAGTGACCAACGCTTCGAGACTGACATTTATTGTGGGGGGGGGGGGGGATGGCTATGGTTTCGTTGCCTGCGCAGTTACATATGAACTCCAAACAAACCATTCGATCAACATCTCAGCACGTTTGTCTGAAGACGCTGCGTACCTATGCCTGATTCAGTCGCTCCCAAACATCCACCGACCATACAATGGCGCAGCACGGGCCTCCAAATAACAAGGGTGAAACTCTCCTATCAGTAGCCCCGGGAGCGTCTCGTTTCTCAGCGGCGCTCAAAGCCCGTCCGGCGGCTGCGGCGTCTGTCTCTGAGCAGCGGTTTCTCGCCAGCCGGGAGAGCGCCAGGGCACGGTTCTTTGAATCTCTCTCACGGGCGACACAACACGGCGCTCCATCACCGCCGCAGACGCCGCCACCAGTCCCGTTCGGCGCGACACGGGGCCAGCCGTGACCCTGCGGGCCGCGGCGACCCCTGCACCGACCGGAGCGGCGGGCCGGCCCGCAGTACCCGTATATCGTACCGGCGCCGACCTCACCGCACGTCACCGGCGCCCGGTGTTGTGTAACGGCGACCGACGGGCGGCGACCCCTCCTGGGCGGTGACGTCACCCCCGGTCGGAGGGATGTGACGTCACTGCGGGTCGGAGGGGTGTGGGAGGGCGCTGCAACTCAACTCCGATTGCTGGGTGAGTTTCGCGATCATCGTGTACCATCAGCCAGCTTCCAACAAACTGCAAACGATATTATGCAAACCGTTTGCCAGAAGAATAGCTTATTATTCTGGAAAATATGTACGTACGTCTTTGATTGTTGCTGATCACCGCGCCGCATAAACTTAACTTAGATCAGTGAGGATCAGGGCAAGTAGAGCATCTGGTGTTTAGCTTTGCCTTATATACGTTTGCCTTCACTCAATTCAATCGTAACAAACTTAAGTACCTACTTGGCTATTCTCCGGTACCAGGCTTATCAGTCGAATTTCTGTCGCGTCTGCGGCAGCAGCATACAAGAATGCTTTGCAGCACCCCTGTCACTGGTGACGTCACTGGACCCGGTCGTTATGACGTCACTGGGGTCCGGTGACGTTGACCTTGTCAGTCCCACCGGGGCCGAGCGGTGACCGTTCGACCCCGCCCGATAGCGGGTCTGTGTACACAAATCGGCGCCGGATGTAAACCGAACGCAGGAATGTCGTGGTCGCACACAGACAGATAGGCCGAGCGGCCATACAGCCGCGGATCTGATCAGAGTCCGATACACAGACGGATCACCGGCCCACCAACCAGAGGACAGACAACAAACACGCAAGCAGACTACCTTACACACGGGTAAAACAGATGCAATATCACATGAAAAGGTGCCTTTGCATTGCTGAAAACTCGACAATTACACGCTTCCTCCATTTGGCAATGAAAAACGTTTTTTTCACTAGGAAGAAACTATCTTTTTTCTATTAGGTGCTGTTCACTATGCGCCGATTTCGACTACAGACGAGTTTAGAATGTCAATCCGAAGACAGAACAATTTCATTCATGATTCAGGTTGCATTATTTGGGATTAGAATCAGCGTTCAGTGCATATTTCCCAGACAAACGGGACGCCGCTCCACTCCACTGCCCCAGCAGCCGCCCACGTCTGAAGGGCGGCGGGCGGTCACGGGTCCCTCTCGGATATCGACCGCGGTCCGAGCCGTGCCGCCGACTGCCGGCCGGTCGCTCTCACCGCCGGCGAAGCCCCGGGGAGCTGGGAGCCATCAGCCGCGGCCACCTAAAGGTCACACTCCGCCACCGCCGCTGGGGGTGACCTGTCGAGTGACCTGTTCTCCGTCCGATCCGCCCCGCACTCGGCGGTGGACAAAAGTAATGACCAGGCGGGGGTCGGCTCACTGGCTGCGGGCTGAGACGTCCCAGAAGTGGAGCGCCGTCCCCCGAACGCTCACCGTCTGCGGCCATCCCGCGGGGCTCGGACCTCGGACTGTGCACCTGAGACGGCGGCCATCCCGCGGGGCTCGGACCGCGGACTGTGCACCTGAGACGGCGGCCATCCCGCGGGGCTCGGACCGCGGACTGTGCACCTGAGACGGCGGCCGTCCCGCGGGGCTCGGACCGCGGACTGTGCACCTGAGACGGCGGCCGTCCCGCGGGGCTCGGACCGCGGACTGTGCACCTGAGACGGCGGTCGTCCCGCGGGGCTCGGACCGCGGACTGTGCACCTGGGACGACGGTCGTCACAGCGCCAGGATGTCCCCGGCCGCACCGCTATGGAGAGCGGCAGGCAGTTGTGCGGGATGACCCCGGAAGGTGAGGTGGGGCTCAGCTGCCGTCTGAACCGGCCCGCCATCCGAGCCCACCGTTACTGACACTTGTCCGTGATCGGCCGAGACCTGCGGCACGGAGAGTGCGGCTCTGACCGTCACGGACGGGACAACGCTGGTCGGCCAGCCCGGACACGGGTCAGCACGCAGCTAACAGACACCGCGCTGCAGCCGTCGCGGGCGGCCTGGCCGAAACATGCTGCGCTGGGTTCCGGAACGGTGCTGACTGAGGCATGGTCGGACAACGCAGGCCAGCGTGGCGGACACATGTGATATAAATGACAGCCCAAATAGTACCGAAACGATCTACCCCACACAGACTACATAGGTGGAATGACCAGTGTTCGTCAAAACGCTGGCCAGACTGATCATTCTTCCCAAGTCAGATTAATGGAGCTGTTAAGCTCAAGCACGGGTGAAACAGCAGACGGAACTCTTACAGACACAGCGGATAGACCGCAGTCAGTCAAGCAGTATGATCAATGACCAGACTCAGACAACGGGCACAGCACGCCTCTCTCTCTCTGTGCTGTCAGCTGTGTCGTGAAACTGCACCGACATCGTCAGAGGTGCTGTCAATGACACACCTTCAGTTAGAAAAGCCGTATCTGGTGATATAATGGCGTTACAACCGCAACGAAAGTTAAGCATAATGATGCACCTCCCGGATCCCAGGCTCATCAAATGCTCCAAACAAAAGACATTCCGTTTCGATGATGATGATTGGATGTTTGGGCACAGCAATTACAGAGCCCATTCGCTGTTGTAACATCCTCTTTGAGCCTCACCAGAGTAACATCTAAATCACGGCCACGTTTGAGTGCCGATCACTGAAGCCGTCCCGGGCCGGCGGCCGGTGAAACGCCGCGCCGCCGCTCCGGCGTCGGCGGCGGCCGCCGATGCCGTCTCCGATATGGCCATATACGTCTCGGCGCGGCGCCGCCGGAGACGGGGGCGGGGCGCGGGCGGGCCGATCACCGCACACACCCAGCGGACCGACGGCGGTCAGCTGATCGGCCCGCCGACCAGGTCCGGCTGACCGCGGCCGGGGAACGTCCCACAGACGACACTCAGCTACCGCCGCGGAGACCAGAGCAGAGCTCCACATCACCTGGCATCGCCAGAAGGCAGCGATGCCGAGCTGCGCTGACAGACCGCGGCGCCGATCACGCCGCTCCGCTCCACCGGGCGGTGATCGGACCGGGCCGCCGTCCCGATCACGGGCGGGGCCGACACGTGCAGTTGAGCACACGAGGCGACAGAGAGGAGCGCAGTGACCGCCGTCATCCCCTGCGCCCTGGAGAGTCGGTGGCGGGGCGGACGCGCCGGCAGCGCCACCAGTTCAGGGAGAGGTGGGAGGTGGTGTGGGAGAGGGAGGCGCACGACTGGCGCCGGGGCAGGAGAGAGGGTCTGAGTCAGCGGACCGCCGACCGGGCGCAGCTCCTCTCTCCCCGTCACCGACGACCAATGTCCACAAATGGTGACTAACGGTCCGAGTCCACTGCCCGGTCGCCAGCCATTAAACAAAGCCCTCCAAACTGGACCCTGAGAAACGGGGTGCACTATAGTGCACTCAAAACTAGCAGGAAGGGGAGGGGTCGCGATTGTTTTGCCCACCGGTAGACGTGTTTAAACTGCTGACCAAGATCCCCTTCCAGTCCTAGTTTACCTAGAACCAGCAGTTGTTGCTGTGAGACTGACAACGACGCTGCAGCGATACCTAGACGAGGAGGGGTCATCGTGTCATGTGCAGGGCCAGCTGGAGAAATGACAACAGTGATCAGTCCCCACGAGAGGTACGAGAACAGCTAGACAAAGTCATTGCGCTGTGCAGCGATCGGAACGGAGCAAAATGGTGTGCAGTCAACCATAGGACAATTAAGGTGCCGTGATCTGTCACGGGTGCTGGGAGAACAGTATCAGCAACCCAGAGTCTCAGAGATCTGTCAGTACTCCCGCTATCGTCTAGATTACACTAAATCTTATGTCTTAGGCTACAGGGCCCAGTGTCGCGCTGGGCCGAGATACCGCGCCCAATGCCATGAGTAACACACGAACGTCTGGGAGATACAGGACCAGGGCGAGAGACCGACCATGGCTCAACACACGACTCCTCTTCACGCACAAAAGCTAGTCATCACTTTGTAACTGACCGGTGGGATTCAGGATCCCTGCATAGTCCTATTCCCGACAGCAGGAGCCCCACTCCGCCCACGGAAGGTGGCCGATTCGATGGGAGTAGCCTGCGCCAAGCAGCTATCCTAAGCCATCACCCAGCCGTCGGCCATCCGTCGCCGCGACCGGCGGAGCACTCACCCTGAAGTTGCTCTGGTTCATCCATGGTATGATGCCGTCGATGAAGCCACCGATGTCCTCGCACTCGATGCTGTTGCCCGGCTGGTCGAGGTAGTTGATGATGTCATTGCTGATGGACAGCTTCTTCTTGGTGTCGGAGGTGGCCAGCAGCGGCAGGAACAGGTCCAGCTGCGACATGGCCGGCGCCGCGCGCGGGGCGCGTCTCGCCGCCCGGCACTGCGCGCCCGCTCTCACTCGGTACACCGGGGCCGACCCGTCAGCCGCTCAGCACACGGCCGCCCGCACCGCACACTCACCACACTCACAGCCACCGCCGGGGAGCACCGCAACGCACCACCGGTCGACGCAGGACACGGCTGCTCGCGCGCACACCACACTGGAAACACAGAGCGAGAGCGTCAGATTCAGAACCCAATAGCCAAAGTAAGTGTTTAAATATAATAGAATGGAACTAACAGCAGGGCTAATGCTTGCACTGATCAGTGTATGATGCAGCTGCTGGGCACACTTATATTATCCAAAAAACTATGATGGTCTTATTCTCAGGGTGTCTGCACTGCAGCTATCACATTGCACACCAGGCGATACTTAGAATAAGGGTCAAGGTCTGGAAGTCAGGCGTTGACATCTAATGAACCTGTCAAATGTTTAAATATGATTTGGCATTTGCTAGTCTGGTGGGTAAATATCATGGAACTAAACAGCAGCAAAAAACAACTTAGAACATTGCTGGAAATGCGCACCATCAGGTTATAATTTCTTTCACACTCACAATGCACATCAAAAGCAACATAACACAATTATATACAATACCATGGCATAGATTAGAGAAAACTAAAAGTGTGCACACTGTACAAACTCAAGGAGCTTGGATGACAAAATTTACAAGCACTGTGAGTAGATTGTTTCCATATACCTTCTAAAATTACCCAGCTTAAAAAGAAAGCCAATGATTGACATTCCTAAAAAGAACAAAACTAACATAAAAAACCCATGGATGAAATAAAACAGAAGCCATGTGTAAAACATTGCATTACATTTAACAACTTGGAAAAGATGCTTTTTGAAACAAACAATGTGATGTACCCTTCTTCACACTTTGAAAATAAGCAGAAAATATTTGCATCAACAGGGAAAGGTCAGGAGCCAGTATAACCAACAGAAAATTGTTAGCTGCCTGTATTCTTTTTTCAATACCTATGTCTCCCACAAACTTAACCAGCCAAAAAAAAAAAAACTGCTGAGGTGCAAAGTGAAAACATCAGTTAGGTACCTACCAATAGGTACTCTCGCTGATATTATTTTTCATGTCCATGATCATCTTAATTGAGTGGCTGGCAAAGTTCGGTTGCAATATCAGGAAAAAATAAATGTAACCATTTTCTTCCTTGTAAAACTGGCCTTACATCAACTAAAAATTTCACAGGGAGAATTCCGAGTTGTATCAACCAGTACAAGGCATACATTTGTTGGAAATTTATTTCAAATCAAACTGAAACAGGATCCTATTTCTAACAACTTTTAACCATGCTTGTAACACTTAATGGCAGCTACTACCCTTGTACAATTCTTCATTAAGCTTTGAAAGCAGCTTTAACTTTCATCACATTCTGGCAACAGCAACTGTACGTTCATTTTAGCACATAGCTCTGCGCGAGTGCTGAAACAGGCCCGAATGATTGTTTGTGTGACATTTGGTTGTCTTGCCACTGCACTGGCTGAAATCATCAGTATTTAAGAGTATGGACCCAGAGTCTGAAATAAAGCTTATCTATCTATCTATCTATCTAAACTGAATCTTTCAATCTGAATCAACCAACAGCAATATCCCTTATGAATGTTTCATTCGAATATACCAGTTGGGCAAACTAGACCTTTGGAATCAAAATATGGAGGCATCAAAAGATTGATTCCTTATGACCATATTTGGGCATAAATGCAGACCATTTCTAACTTACCAATCACATAGAAATAAGAGAGTGTTTCAAGAAGGAGCATGCCTGATCTTGAACAGAAATGCTGGAACTATCTCCTAAGCAAAATAATATTGCTCCTAACATAACAATTTGAATTCTATAGGTAGTGAAAGGCAATCAAGGAATTGATTCACTTTAAACAGATAATCATAATATTGATTCCCCATCAGCTGGCTATTCATTATTTTGATTCACAGGTAATGTTAACAGATAGGCAACAATGACTTGCAGGAATACCACATTTATCTTGCTATTATTCTCATTTAGTGGTATCCTCAGCACCACAACAGATACCTATAGCATTGTTGTACTAAACCTTCACTACATTTGATAGCAATTCACAATTTTTTCTTGTCAAGAATACAAAAACTGAGGCAACAGGTAAAAACCATATAATAACTATAAAAGTACTACAACAATGATAATTAGGGGTTTGAAAATTTCATTTTGCCATTTCACACAAATACTGATTGTTTAGTATGTGATCCATGATACAAAAATAACATACAGTATGATTTCCTCAAAACAGCTTTTACGTGATGGACAGTGGCTGTGTCTTTTTCCCATTCACAAGGCCAAAGGGACAATTTCTTAGTTTTGAGGTAACATTTTTTGCAAACCTAACACATTTTTCTACCTTTTTAAAGAAAAATCTCACCGTCATGGGCCTTTTTTCAACCGTAACGATACATTTGAAGTCAAAAGTGTACCCAAATGAATCAAAAAATTGATTCCATGCCCATATTTGGTCATGGCTCCTCCCACCAGAATCAAATTATTGATGCCTCCATATTTTGATTCCAAAAGTCTAGTTTGCCCAACGTATATCTATAAACAGAATAAGTTAGCAAGTTCAAAACCTCCTAAAATCCCAGTTAAAGACCATAAATTCAAATTAAATAGAAACTATATAGTCAAAACCATATAACAAACTTCAGCAGCATTACCTACCAACAAATCGAAACGGCAGATCCTGAAGCACAATCAAAACTGTACCCTCACAGCACCACACTTATGCAACAGTTAAGGGCAGCGGGCAGCGGCCAAGCAGCGGCAAGGCCGGCAGCGGTATCCAATTCAGCAATTCGGCCAAATCAGAAAAAGTTATTACCAAGGCCCTATTACCATTCACTGCACCAGCAGCCGCAACAGCACCACCCCAAGCGTCACTAGCGCCGCCATAACACTTTTCCGTTTGCTCTGCTCAAGCTCACAACCTAAAATGGACGACATCCAACGGTTAGCCAGCAAATAAGTCCATGTAAGTTATTTTATCCTGAGTAATTTATGGAAAAAATAGGCAGACTTTATCATGATCCCCCGCAAACATGATGTGCAAATAAAAAATGCAATATAAGAAGCCCTGATAAATAACGGCATCTCGTATTTGGCTTCTACAGCGACATCTATATACATAAAGAATCTTTGCTTGGCGTCATCTATAGTGAAATGAGCCCTTCGTGCAGTGTGGTGACCAATCTGCATCAACAGCTTTAGATGTATCCGATTGATGCGCCGTTTGGCTGATTTCATAGCTGCTGAATTGATAGGCGGGATTCCGTATCGGACTCGGTGCGTGTCAAGCTGGAGATACTGTGTTACCGTTATCTGACTCTTATCGATCAAACGAACGCGTTCGTTTGATCAAACCAAGGCCCTAAAACATACGAACGCGTTCCGCATCGTTCGAAAGATGCGGTTGCAGGCTTCGGACTGCCTCGCCCTCGGTGGGTACTAACTACTAATGTACTATCTACTTAGCACAGCTCCTATTGATCAATTTTCGAAGGTTAGCATAACATAGTTGAGGTAAATGTTCGCACAGCATTGAGCATGCGTTGTTATCGTGACCTTATGTGAATTTAGCACATCTCAATCTTGTATATTTTTCGTATGCCTGAAAAGTGAACCGCAACCGAATCTCGGCTGAGGTCTCTTGTTTTGGTAATCATGTGTTTCTTGTCCAACAATATGTCCAACTACCAGCCTTGCAACAACCTCAAAATGTGTTTCTGCAACGCATTTTTTAACGTCTGTAACATTTTACTAGCTGTCTCTTTTTCATGTTGTTATGTCGTACTTGCGCTATAAATGCATCAAGCTGCCCATCAAAATTATTATGTTCTTTTCCTGTAACTAGTTCTTGTGGCATCCGCACCGAATCCAAACGAACCAATCAAAGCCTGAAGAGTCCACTCGCGTTTAGTGCTGGCGAAAAATTGAACACTGTGGCCTGTGCAATTAATCGTCAATTTGATGCTTATAGCAGCCTCTTATACGGCCTTGATAGCAGCAATGGCAGGGGTCACTTCGGTCGTACGTCAACGTGAGGCTTCTATGCAATTTTTATCGAAATGATTATTTGATAAGAGGGAAAACAAATCTTTATAGAATATAGGAGATTGAAGTTACAAGAAAATCAAGTAATATGGTATCGGTGAAGCTGGTGTCCGGTCACCGTCGTCGCCATCGTCGCTAACCGGTAAGTTTGGGGCCTTACTTAGTTGGGGCCTGGGGGGTATATAGGGCCTTGATTTGGGGCAACTACGAGGCTCCGAATTAAAATTTGATCAGCCAATCAACGGCTGGAGTGGGCGGGTCAATGACCATATATGGTAATAAAATCAGAAAACTTCTTTTCCATACATCCTAGCATTCAAATGAAAAAATAAGGCATTAATGCCATTTTTTTTGTTATTTTCTTTATTTTTTCCAATTGTGGTTAAATCATGATTTTAAAATTAAATATCTTCATTTAGGTATTAGTAGAGCAGACGTCACATAAAGGTTTTCCGACCAAGGAGAGGCGCCATACATGGAGGTGCTTCTTTCTAGGAAAACCTAAACAAACCTAACCTAACCTAACCTAACCTGACCTAACCTAACCTACAACCTACAAACCTACAACCTAAAAACCTACAACCTACAACCTACAAGCCTACCCTACAACCTACAAACCTACAGCGCCTCTCCTCGGTTGGAAAACCTTTGTGTTACGTCTGCTCTACTAATGCCTTCATTTATTGCAATGAAATTAAACCTTTTTAACAATTTTCTTTCAAAATACCAATCCATTTATGGAATGGTCAACTGATTGTGATGCCCGGAACCTGCAGAAAAGCTGTTTTGTGATTGGCGTTTTCTAGTGAATTTGCCAAATTTTATCAAATAGCGTTAATTTCTAGTGGGAAATGGAAGCCTTTTCTTTCTTATAAGGTGGACGCCATACCTACCATAAATACTGGCATGTTATGCTGTTTTTCACCCATAGTAGCGAGGGCTGCATTTATACCCATATATGGTAATAAAAAGTCTATTTATTGACCGATCAATTTTTGGATCTTTGCCTGATAGTTTCCTCAACTGATATTTTATCTTATAGGCTGTATTGCATACACATTCAACTTGCACATAACAAAATGGCATACATTTATAAATTATAAATGTGGTGATGTGTGATATCACCATGTCATTATCAGTTAACAGTGTGGATGTCTCACTTAGCACTGCGATTCACATTGCTCCAAGATAGAGGCTCTTTAGCATCCACCAATATGACCACTATTCACGGAACTGACTGAAATATAAAATGACATATGCCCTGCACTAAAAAAAAATACCAAGCCAACTGAGATCAGCATTTCAACTGGCAATCGTGATGCAGCTACCAATTCCAAATGGTTGCTGATCTCTACTCCTGCTCCTCTGCCAGCCGAAGCTGGATCCATTTGAGGTAGTGACTGACGTCCGTGTAGATGCCAGGCAGGCTGGGCCGGGCGCAGCCGATGCCGGCCGACACCACGCCGACCAGCGTGTGGCTGCCGCCGGGCTCGGCCACCACCAGCGGGCCGCCGCTGTCGCCCTGGCACGCGTCCTTGCCACCCTCGCTGAGGCCGGCGCAGATCTGGCCGGGCTTCAGCGTCAGCCGCTTGCCGGCGGCGGCGAACCAGGCGTTGCACGTGTCGCGCGTCTGGACGGGCACGTCGGCGCTCTGTAGGCGGTCGGCGCGTCGTCCGCCGTCGCGGTACTCTGCCAGCCAGCCCCAGCCGGCCACGGTGGCCGTGCGGCCGGTGGGCGGCGCGGCGCCGGCCGCCGGCAGACACGCCGGCTGCACGAACGGCCCCCAGACGGCCGGCGCGGCCAGCGTCAGCAGCGCCAGGTCGTTTCGGAAGCTCGGGTACTTGTACTGGTCGTGCACGGTGAGCGCGGCCACGGCCAGCTCCTGCTGCGCCGGCTCTGCCACGCGCAGGTCGTGCTCGCCGGCCACCACGCGGAAGTCGGCCGTCCGCCGGTTGTGGAAGCAGTGCGCGGCCGAGAGCACGTGGCGCTGGCCAATCAGTGTGCCGCCGCAGAAGTGCTGTCCGGCCAGCTGGATGGAGACGGTCCAGGGCAGCTGGCCGGCGTAGGCGCCGCTGCCGCCCACGATTCGGCCGCGGCCGGAGAGCACCTGCTGCTGGCCGCACTCTGTCATCGTCGTGTTGGAGTCGCTCTGGCCGCGCACGGTCACGGCGCAGGCGGCGAGCGTCAGTAGAGCGGCGGCACGCATGGTGGCGGAGAGCGGACTGTGGTCTTCGGTGAGGAGCGCCAGGCTGAGCTGTTGCTCGGGGCAGTGTGGAGCCAGCGGCGCCGCCGGCTGCTTATGTACCCCGCGGCGCCGGCTCGGTGGGTCTCACGGTCACTGGGGCGGCGGTGCCCCGGCGGCGGCCGCCCGCATGCCAGCGCTCGGTCATCAACACCCCTCCGTGTTGGCTGTGTGTCGAGCGGTGCGGCCGGCGACCCTACCACCGCCGCCAGGGGGCAAGGTCGGCTCTGTGGGACGCGCAGCGGCGGCTTCCGCCCGGCACCTGGCCCGGCCGGCCGCTGACCGGGACTTCCTCTTCCGACCCGGCCCGTTCCGGGTCACCGGCTGCCCGGCGCGTCGCTCCCGGCCGTGTGCGGGACGTCAGCTTCGATCCCCAGCTCGTCGTCTAATGTTTATCGATAATGAAGACTTTGAGGCGTTTTTTTTTCAATAGCCACGAAAGCTGTTCATTTCCGTGCATTTCCCGCATGTTCTGCTGGTTCCTTTCGCACAATTTTGGCGCTGGGAGCCCAAATGAGCGATGCTTCCGGGTCTCGCTCCCGAACTTTGGCGAAGTTTCAATGCCGGGAGCAGATGAAGACTTTCTTTGCCCCTTCGCGATGTGCAATGTGCACGTCCGTATACCGAACTTTTTATTGACAGAAATTTGAGGTTTTGACCGGCACGGTGGATACCGGCCTGTAACTTTGTACCAACTTTAAGCGCAATCGGCCGAGCAGTTCTTTAAATGCATGGAAGTGTTCTCCGCTCGGGCTCACGTGCAAAGTGAGATCCCAGCCGTCTTGTGAATTCGTATTTCCCATTTAGCCGACATTTAACAACGTAGCTATGTAAATCACAATCGGCGAAGCCGCTCTTGAACTGTGGAAACGGTGCGTGCACTAGTGCACGTACGAAGCGTGCACAATGCACATTGCACATGGAATAAGCCCCAATGCATTTGTAAGTGCATCGCTGGGTGGGTGCGATGGCATAACTGTCTCAAAAGCGTTACTGGCCGGGCCTTCAGGCCCGGTCAGGTCAGACGGGTCATGGATAGTTGTTGATTATTCCGTAAGATGTATATGACTTGCTTTGTATGTGTTATTAATTAGCTATTATTATACTATGTAGGTATTATTTTTTTCCTTTTGCTTTATGGCAGTCGGACCTCTGATTCCTAAGCCAATATGCTTGAAAGTGGAGACGCTATTTTTGTCCCTGTACTGTGCGTGTCCGATGTGCCGCCATTGGCACCGATTCCTTATCTAGATCAAGGTCCTTGCCTCCAGCCATTCCGCGTATCGTCTGCTTTTTGCCCGATGAACCATAGGAAGTAGCGTCAATTACGGACTCGAGCGTCACGCCTCGCTCTTCCGGACCGGTGCATTCCGAGACCGCTGTCCTTCCGCTCGCTGTTCCGGTGCGTGTTCCCGGAAGTCCGCGGAAGTCGGTCTGCTGCCATGTGCGTGTTTGTGTTCACGGTTACCGGTGGTAATTAGCCACAGAGACGGCTGCACTAACTACGGGTCGCACTGCGCGTGACCCTGGCGAGTCAACATGTGACGCCCTATAACGCTCTGTGACGCTCTGTGACGGTGGATGCCGATGCGTCACCTGTGCGCTCAGTTATGACAACGGTCGGCTATGTGACACGTTTGGCGGGGGGGGGGGGATGACTGGTGAATACGCACAGTAGCTCCAGGAAGTTCCGCCTCCCATTAGACCCAGTGTGTTAGTTTCCTATTGACATTGATGATTACACGCCCCTGGTCGTTCTTTTTTATTTACGAGCGTGCAATTATTCGAAATTTTATTCTATAGGCGCATTACAAGTTGAATTTGAAATTTACAGGTGACTGTTTGTCGAGCACTATTATTTTAATAGCATCTTACTTATTAAACCATAATCTTGGCCCTCAACCAACATAAGAGGTAGATAAATAAGTGATCTCTAGCTGTAAATCTGTGGTTCTATTGGACCAATCAAGAAAACCCAGCGTAAATCGAAAATGCTTTGAATCCGGCCGGTTATTACAGCCTGCCGCCTCTGCTGAGCTCTCCACCTCGCATCTGCAGCATCGACCGCGCGGTGTCGAGGTGAGGACCGCTGACCACCGCTGACCGGGCGCTGACCATGGGTGACCTCACCACCGACCTGCTCTGCTTCGGTAACCCGCTGCTGGACATGATCCTGCGTGTGGAGGACGGCCAGCTGCTCACCAAGTACCGCCTGCTGCCCGACAACCAGATCGAGGCCGACGACGACCAGAAGGCGCTCTTCGACGAGGTGTTCGCCAGGTCAGTGGATATTGGACACAAATCGCTGTGTAGGGCACAGATATTGGCGTATTATGTTCGTGTCTCTAACTACGTGTCAGTCTGGTGACAATAGTGACCGAATCTGTCCGAATCTGCTCGATCCTCGGCCGGTCAACACCTACAGGCTATTTTTGCTTTCGCCGAAATCCAAAGGAAACCATATCTGGACAAGGAGATTGCCTAGTTAGGCACCGCCATTTATCCCTTATTATTAGCACACTATCGGTCAAGGCGACTCCTAACCGTCGCTCTGATCTGGTGCTGACCTGGTCTGTTTCTGCGATAGCAGTGTCCTAACTGCCGCTCCGCCTCTGCCCCCCCCCCCCCCCGGATAGGAGCGGTGAGGTGACGTTCTGCCCGGGCGGCTGCGCCCAGAACACGGCCCGCATCTACCGCTGGATCCTCGGAGACCGCTCCTCCGTCTCCTTCGTGGGCGCCGTGGGAGCCGACAAGTTCGGACAGCGACTCGAGAAACTGGTGCGAGCCGACGGCGTCAACACCAGGTGGGGGCGCCAGAAGCGCTTCAGCGATCAAGCGGGGCTTGTGTAGGTGTTGACTAGTGAAAGACTTAGATGCATTAGCTGCGGGGGTTGTGCGGGATAATTAGATTATCCATAAAAGTGCGGGATAACTAGCGATCCATTAGAGACAATTGAAACGGCAAGGATTTCTTGAGAGAATAAGGCTTGTGTTCTAGCTAATAACATGGCTGTTTGTCTGATAGGCTGTGTGGAGTGGGGTAAGGACTTATTAACCCTTGTTCTTTGTTGCACATTGTATTCACACTTTGTTGCATTTGGTATTCTTGCAAACTGCTGAACACCATGCGTTCGTTGTTACGATGATGCCCCATCGTGCCACCGCTCTCGTAGATGTCGGTCTGCGTGGTGGGTTCTCTGTCTGCCGGCGCTGTGGCCGTGCTGACCTGTGTGACCCGTCCCCACTACAGGTATGTGGTGCACGAGGACCGTCCGACGGGCCGCGCCGTCAGTCTGGTCTGGGGCACCAACCGCTCCCTGGTGGCCGACCTGGGCGCGGCCACCCTCTGCCGTCCGGACCGCGTGTTCTCGCCGCACAACCTGGCCCTGCTCACCGGCGCCCAGTTCGTCTACATCGAGGTGGGTAACGGATTCGGGTGCCGGGTGGGGTTGGGGGTCGCCAGAAGTGGTTGGAGAATGCTGCCTCTGCCCGATTTGCTGTTTTAGTAATGTAAGATACGGAACGATAGCGGGAGATGGTGCAATGCTGGATCGGATGTCTAAGAATCCGGTGTCAGTTGACTCGTAAGTCGTACCATTGAAGCGTGTCGTTACATTAGTCACAGACCTCTCACTAGTGTCTACTTGTATTGTAGGTGGCACTACCCGTCACTATCATCTTTGAGCTTATAATGATCTTGAGTGATCGGGTCAAAGCCTTTAGTTCTTGACTTTGTGCAAATATTCGTTGTGTGTGCGCCTATTTCTGCCACAATCTGCAATGTCTGTATTTTCGCACCTTCCCCCGCCGCCGTCTCGTGCAGGGGTTTTTCGTGACGCACGATCCGGAGACGGCGGTGCAGGTGGCGCGCTACTGTTCGCACAGCGGCCGGCGGCTGGTGTTCAGCCTGTCGGGCACGTACGTGTGCGAGCGGCACACGAGCACAATCTGTCAGCTGCTGCCGCACGTCTCCTTCCTGTTCGGACACGTCACAGAGCTGACCGCACTGGCTCGCGCCCTGGGACTGGAGGTGAGAATAGCGGAAGGTACCAAAGTCATTACTTCTTTGGATGCATTGGTGAAAGCATGGGTCCTGTCGAGGCTGAGACTCCGTTTTAATGTCACATCAGGCTGCAACTGTTCTTGAGCTAGGCTGTAGGCAAGCTAGATTGAGCATTTATGAGCATTGAGCGTATGCTTCCCAATCCCTCCCGGGGTCTACAACAGTGTAACCCCAAACCTGTGACCTGTTTCGGTCAGGACGAGTTCGACATATCGCCGCTGGGCTACGCGCGCCTGCTGGACGCCGCCTCGACCCGGCTCAATACGGTGGAGGCCATGACCCAGTCGGACGAGCCCGACCAGCCCGCCGACCAGGCGCTGCTCAACGGCGACAGTCCCGGCCAGCTCAGGTAGGCGCTGCTCAACGGCGACAGTCCCCAGCTCAGGTAGGCGCTGCTCAACGGCGACAGTCCCCAGCTCAGGTAGGCGCTGCTCAACGGCGATAGGCCCCAGCTCAGGTGAGCAGACACAGGCCCCAGCTCAGGTAGGTGTGCTACCCAGCTCGGGCAGGTGTGCTGCCCAGCTCAGGTAGGCGCGAGCAAAGCACGGAGCTGGTATGGTAGAGTCGTATTCTCTTTGTTACACCCCTCTTCAGTTTCATCCCTCTCTTTAGCAGATACAGTAACTACATGCGTCTTAGTCACTCCTACTTTACATTTCTGCTTTTGGCACCCCTTCAGCTGGCTGATGTGCATGATTTAATATTATCACCTGTCACAATACGCATGCCTGTAATTTAACAATAAAACGTATTCCGGCAACCGTTTTGAATAATTCTGCATTGACGTCATTGTCCACGTCGCGTTGGAGTGAATGATTAACCACCAGTGCATCATGGTCTTTACAGCCAGTGAACTTTATCTAAATGATCCACGGCCCACAACTTCCAGAGCTGACGCACGCCCTTTGGCATGCATTCATGAATTGCCATTGCCGTAGCGAGCGGTTCCGCGTGTATTCCCGGCAGGCGCTATATTATGCATGGGTAGTTTGAAACGCCAGGGGGCCCACTTACAATACGTGTTTGGTCATGATTTCCCTGGTGCTCCCCATTGATTATTGTATGCAGCACCCAGTGGAGCCTGCGCCAGGCAACTGGCAGCCCCGGGTCCCACAATGTGTTACCGAAGCTGCACAATTCATATTGTCGTGTCGCCAGAAATCGCATTCCAAACGAGTCTGCTCTGTGCAGAATTCGCGCTACTGTTGCTACTTATTTTGTACATCTTAGTGGTGACCTTTTCTCTGACAAATCCAAGAGGACCACAATCAACCAAAGCGACACGTACGTGAAAGGTATCCCGTGCCTTGCTGTCTGGCTCTTGCTCTCTCAGCCGCTGACTGTTCGGCGACTGCTCGCTGTGCTGTCCCACTACGGCAGGATCGCGATCACCCAGAGCGCTGAGCGGATGCTGCTGCTGGACTGACCGCCGTGCTCTGCCTCTCACTGTTCGCTGTGTCCTTCGAGCGCCACAGGATCGTGTCGCTCACCCAGAGCGCTGAGCGGGTGCTGTATCACACTGTTCGCTGTGCTCTCCCACTACGGGCAGGATCGTGGTCACCCAGAGCGCTGAGCGGGTGCTGCTGCTGGACTGACCGCTGTGCTCTGCCTCTCACTGTTCACTGTGTTCTTCGACCGCCATAGGATCGTGGCGCTCACACAGAGTGCTGAGTGGGTGCTGTATCCCACTGTTCGCTGTGGGGTGGGATGTGCTCACCCAGAGCGCTGAGCGGGTGCTGTATCTCACTATTCGCTGTGCTCTCCCACTACGGTAGGGTGCGCTCGCAAGGAGCGCTGCGCCTGTGCTGCATCTGACTATTTAGTGCGCTCCGTCTCTGACTGTTCGGTGTTGTCTCTGACTGTTCATTTTATGCCGCAGGATAATTGTCACTCAGAGCGCGGAGTCGGTGCTGCTGCTGCTGACTGTTCGCTGTGCTCTGACTGTGCGGTGTGCTGAGTGTTGTGTCTTCTGTCTGACTGTTCTCTGACTGTTCACTGTGCTCTCCCTGTACCGCAGGATAATTGTCACCCAGAGCGCCGAGCCGGTGCTGCTGCTGCTGCTGCTGCTGTCTGATCGGTGTGCTCTGACTTCACTGTGCTCTCTCCCTCTACCGCAGGATAATTGTCACCCAAAGCGCCGACCCGGTGCTGCTGCTGGACGACGTCTCCGTGGTCTCCGTACCCGTGCCGGCCATCGACGAGCGCCAGATCGTGGACACCACCGGCGCGGGGGACGCCGTGGTCGGCGGATTCCTGGCCGGACAGTTCCTCGGCGAGTCGCTCGAGGACTCTGTCAGGTGAGCGTGGGTAGACTGGCAGTTCCTCGGCGGATTCCTGGCCGGACAGTTCCTCGGCGAGTCGCTCGAGGACTCTGTCAGGTGAGTGCCGACTGCCGATAGATCCTCAGATAGTAGCTGGAGAACTTCGTCAGGTTAGTGCGAACGGGAGCGGCGGAGAGATGGACATAGGGATCTACGCTGGGGTGCTTGGTGGGTAGGATGGGATGTGCGCTGTGCAAGGTGAGCTAGGGAATGTGAAGTGGGCTGAGGGTGTCGGTTAAGAAGGAGCTTAGTGGAGAGGTTTAGGAGCCACAGTTCCCTCGCTCTCTATAGTTAGATATATTTTAGCTGTACGGCTAGGCTCCATTTTCACTAAACGGTGGATCAGAGTCGATAAGGTCGTTTGGGCTAGCTGAGGACGTGGCCCTTCTTTTTCACCTCAGTTTCACCTTTCTTTTTCACTTTGGAGGCCTCAATACACTGGATTTGGATTTGGATTTGGATTCACACAAGCTTGGAATGGAACACTCGAACATATGCAGTCTGACACTGTGTAGGAGTGTAACGCATGGACTATTGACCTCCCTCAGGGCAGCCAAGAGCTCACCTTCGAATCCCCGGTCCCTCGCCCCTCTGGCGCTGTGTAACCACCTCGGCCCTTTCCCAGGTACGGGATTTTAGCTGCCCGTGTGTGTGTGTGTGTGGGGGGGGGGGTGCATGGTCTGTCTGCCCCCCCCCCTCGACCCTAGGTACGGTGTCCCTCGCCAACCCGGGAGGTGTGTTCGCTCTCTGACCGCCTCCCCCCCCCTCGTCCCCAGGTACGGCGTCCTGGCTGCCCGGGAGGTAGTCCAGGCACTGGGCTGTTCAATCCCGGCGCGGCGCCATCCGCTGACCGAGCCTCCTCTCACCAACGGCGTGGCTAGCTAACCCGTCTGACGGACCAGGCACTCCGCACGGACCGGGCAGCGGCAGGTCAGTGAGCGCAGGGGCCGGCGGCCGTCAGCCGGTCTCGGCCCAGTGGTTTGACCCGCCGCCCACGGGGTGCCGCGGCTCCCCGCTGCCAGTGGGCGACCACCGGCCGGCGGGCAGCGGAGGGCGGACCGCTCAGGTGACCGTCTAGTCCGGGTAGGTAGTTGTGATTTCTGAGATCGACTCCTCGGTTAGTACGAGGGGTCCGGCGGGCCACGTGATCTGACTGGAACCAAGTCTGGTGGGTCACGTGGACCCTGGCCCGGGTTCTGATCAGTTCGGTGCAATATTAGGTGAAAGTGACTTCTAGTTCAGGAATGCGATACGTCCGCGACTGTTTGGTAGAATAGTCGGTACTAGTCGTTTGGTTTAGTTGAGTTCTGGTGTTAAAGTTGTTTTCAGTCATCACATTTGCGTTGTGTCGGTTCAACTGAAGCTATTAAGTCGTTGCAGTGTACTGTGCAATGAAGTGCGAGCAGGAGCTTTGGTCGCTTGTGATGGGAGTAATTGCTGAAAGCGGAGCGCCTTGTTGATATTCGATGTAATGGATTTAATCCAGTGATTGCTGACCTAGTCTTTGGTGCGGTGGATTATCAGTTTATCTGCTACCTTTCAAATGCATGTACATTGTATGAAATTGACCAGTTGCAATACAGGGTGTGGTGCATACCCTTTCTGACCGAAGCGTTACAGCCCTACATAGTTGTCAAGGGCTGAGCAAACTTGTCTATTAACCAGTACCGTTGTTATCAGCTGTGGCATCAGCTGGATTTACCCTTCTGACAGACACCAGTCGTACCTTTGACTCCAGTCACCAATGACTCTGTATGATCGGGGGTGGTGGCGCTGAGTGGCGCTCCGTCACCGTTACCGGTCGGCCAGCGTCCCCGCGGCGCGGGAGCGGACAGACGGCCGGCTCATATCATCATATGCACGGTCCGCCGCCGGCCGGGCCAGAGACATGGCTCCCGGGACGACGCCGGTGCCAGGCAGCTCGCGAGAATGCATCATCCTGCCGCCATTCCAGTGGCATAATAATGAAACCATGACAGCGGCGCCCGCCGCTAGTACATTTCCGTATTTTGATCGGGCCTGATATGCGTGCTTCGATGCCATAGTCTGTCGGCACGGTAATAGACCTGTGTGTGGGTTATACTCTGCTGTCACGGAATAAACAGATCTATCCAATTAGGGCCGTAATTAGGTGCGCCGAGGCGGCGGTTCGCCACGACCCGGCTATTTATTTCAATCTGTCCGGTTCAAGCAAATAGCGCAGTGTTACCGGGGCAGCTCGTGACGCCATCTAATCGAGTCGCCGGGACCGCGGCTTTGACCCAGTACTGCCTCTACATTCAGTGGTTTGGTGGCCCACAGTGGCTTATATAAATAATCACACGACTTTTCCTTGTAACGACTGTGCTAGAGTATTGGCCATGCTGAGTTTACCTGTGTTCTGGAGCACAATTATCACCCCATTGGCATCTTCTCGAGTGCTGTGTTAAGCACCCGTTTAGCCTCTGCATATATACTACTCCGTGATGTGGGTAATTAGAGGTGGTGGTACATACCAAGCGCACTCTCTTCTAGCATGCATGCCCGATCAGTGCTGATATGGTCACACTCCCAAACACATTGGGGCTTATGTTTGCACTCGTGCAGGTGGACGTGTACCAGGTGGATTCGTGTATCGTGTAACGTTGCGACTTTCCGTGTTGCATTTTCAGCCTGTTTGGGTTCAATCCAGCGTTCCTCTCCTGTTCCGAAGATGACTGTCATCGATCATAACTGCTTCCGATTCCCCGTTCCCGTCAGTTGACGTCCTTTATTCGAGCGATTGTTCGAACCATCTGCGACGCGGATAATCCGTGAGCGAGAGTATGAAGAGAAAAAGGCACAAGAGAACGTCCAAGATCTTTATAATGGAATCGCACATATTGTCCAGTTCGGCGCGCGGCACCCGCGACCACCGATACGGCCGGACAAGACAGAGAGACAGACGAAACGACAGACAGACAGACAGACAGACAGACAGACGGATAGAGATAAAGTTGCCCAGATGTACGGGCAGAGAGCGGAGGGCTGTCGGAGCGCCAGCCGAGAGGTGTAGAGCAGCGAGACGCGCGCGAGAGCTACGAGAGAGTCGGAGAGACCGAGGCAAGCGGCAGAGCGGAGCAGCAGCTGAGGCGTCCAGAGAGGGGCCGGCGCAGCCCAGCTAGACAGGCGCGGGAAGCGAGACGCACCTCGCCTCGAGACAAACGTTCATGGCAACAATTTTTGTCATTTTATTACAAAAATGGTTTCAATGATTAAAACATGGTGCGGTCAACAGCGAGCGGGTCGGCTGGCGGACTGGCGGCAGCGGCGGCGGCGGGCGGTCCTACCGACCCGCACCGGGTAAGGAAACTTTTTTTTTGGCGGCCAAAGGCACGTTATTTAACAACATTGAGTGATCCAACCATGGGTAGCCGCCCGACGGACTGGGGATGGGGCGGTGCCGCCGCCGCCGGCCGGGCGCCGCGCGCGCGCGCGACACGGGCCGCCCGGCCGACACTCCGCCGCTTTCCGCGGACCGGTATAAACACCAATCATAAACGACGCGCCAGGGCGGCGAGTGGCCAGCGGCCTGACCTGACCTGCGCCGCGCCCTGTGACCTGACAAATCGGTCCTCGCCCCAACAACTACCTACACATACAATGCAATAAAAATGCAATATGAAGAGCCGAAAACACCAATTTTCGAGCCACCATCAACTAGACATACACTACGGTAAACAAAATCCGAAGACACGGAGCGAGCATGACCAAACGCTGGGGAGACAGTCGCCTTCGATATATCGGTCCATCGACCAGAGAGAGAAACAGGGAACTTCAAACAAAGCCGGAACCGCACTACCGCACTCGTCTAGCCTCAAAAGGCACCGAGATGGTACAAAAATAGTCACGTCTGGCTGATATGTTAGCGTGCCTCTGCGGCGCTGGCGCTGGCGCCATCGGGCGGCCGGCCGACCGACTGGCTGGGCACGACCGGCCGCCGCGCACGGGCCTAGATTTGTGCTGCTGTGTCGGCTTTAGAAAGGAGGATTGTCACAGCCCATATTAATTTGACAGACGGGCTTTAAAGCTGTCACAATACTGCTGACCGGAGCGATGCGTCGACCACGCTCCCACCTCCTGCTTTGTTCCCTGGAGTTCTCTCTCGCTCTCCCCGTCCCGTGCGGCCGCCTCAGTGGCGGGTCCGCCCGGGCCCCGGACCGCGCGGCCGTCCTGCCGCCCGCGGGCCCTGCCTGCGGCGTTCGGGCGTCTCTGGGCTCCGCCCGCGGCCAACCAGCCACCCGGCCCTGCCTGTGGCTGTCGGACCACTGCCTGTGTCCCTGGAGAGGGTCTCAGTCGGCGGCGGCGCTGGGTTGCTCGGCCGACCGGCCGGCCCGCCACTGGCCTCCTCAGAGGGACGCGCGAATAAATACCGGCGGCGCAGCGCGGTTTTCCATGAATTTCGGTCGCCGTTGTACCGGAATGCTACAACATGTGGCCTGTGTGACGACTCTGCTGCGTAACGTCCCCTGCCGCTCGACGCGCCTCTGTACATCGTACATTACTACTTTACCGTCTCCAAGTATGTCTAGTTTACCCAGCTCTGACTAATCTCTCCCTCCGACCCCAGCCACTAGCCGTACGCAAGCAAATGCAAAAATAGGCTCTGCGGTGGCCGGGCGGGCTGCTGCCTGATCCAGTGACGTCACGCGCGCCGTCCGGCGGCCGTTTGTTCGGTAGGCTGTGGGTCAGTCCGGGTCGGCTGTGGGTCGAGTCCGGGTCGGCTGTGGGTCAGTCCGGGTCGGCCGGCCGGCCGGCACCAGGCGCCGTGCCGTGCCCTCCTCCGCTGCGCGCTCTCCCCGGGCCTCTTAGATGGTCGACTTGGAGAACGAGACCCGCAGGTGGTTGGCGTCACTCAGCTGGTAATTATGCATTTTCTGAAACAGAGGAGACATTCGAGTCAGTTTGGAGGAAAGCAACAGCTCATGCGGGTACTGCATACAGTTGATGTCACCTCACTCCACAGCGCTCTGGCCGGTAATTTACAACATTCGTGCCATGTATGTTAAGGTTTCGGATCGCGTCTGCTGCCACTGCCGACTCGCGACCCGGCTCGGCCCGGCCACCGCACCGGTGCCATATTTCAGCAGTGAAAGTGAGAGGTGCCATGACCGACCACCCCGGCCGTGCGCCGTTCCAGGCGGTTCAATCTGCCTCAGACCCAGGCACCTGAGCGGGGGCGTCTGATCGCGGCGCCCCCGGAGGCGCCTGAGCGGGGCGCCGGACCCCCCCCCCCCAGCGGGGGCGTCAGACCGCCCCCCCCCTTCAGAGGCACCTGAGCGCTCGGTCAGAGGGTATCCGATATCGGGGGCAATCGGCACTTCCGGTCGGTACTTTACCAACTGGCGGATGGAAGCCCCTCAAATGGGTTAGTTTATTACCGTCGGTGACGCTAAAACCGGCGTAAATCATGCCTGTAGGATTGCAGGGTGGGGGAGGTTCAAATGCGCCTTCACTAGAGATAGCTTTCCTAGGAAATAACCGTTGGTGAAACACGGCGGCAGCGAAATGATGGAACATTTGGATTCTGGTGATATGCCAGTTGAATGCCAAGCTCGTTTTGGATGAATGCTGTAAAACAATTCATCAATTTTATCGTTTTGGGTGTGATTAATGTCTTACTGACCTAAATGCCGCAACGACCAAAGGTAGATTGCTGGCATCACCTCCAGGACCAAACTATAGGGAGGTGGCAGCTAGCGGCATCTGAATATAAGTTCTGTCGATTTGAATTCATCACACTTCTCGTATGCTCCATCTTTTCAGCGTTTCAATAATGCCTCTGCCATTACGAGTCTAACCCTGCAGTATGCGCCTTCTAACATGATGAGTCGCTAGACAACAATATTAGCGCGTGGCATCTTTGAAACTTTGCGCACCAGTTGAGCCCTTGCACGGTTAATGAAGATACCAATCTACCGGAACCAGTAACGCAGCAACATCCTAGAACACAGCCGGGACGGCCGCATTTTTGGCAGCATTTAATCTCGCCATTCCTGACGGTTTTGAACGGGTGCCACAGAATTCGGTCTCGCGCCGCTCCGCCGACTACCGGCGAGCAGTAGCGTCCCGTGCAGAGCCGCGCCACAAAGCCTGCTTTACGACGCCGGCAACACAGTAAAGGCATTAGGTGCCGGCTGGCGTACGGCACACGGCGTCTGGGCGCTCCCCTCCCGCCGGCGTCAATCGGCGCTCCCAGCTCACTGCCGCAGCCGAGCCGCAGCCGGGTGAGGTGTGCGTTTGGTGGGCGAGTATAGTCAGAGACGCTGTATCAGGGAGGGTTTTAGCACGGCCGGATCTGAGCCGTAGAGGGAGCTCCCCGGGGGGGGGGGGGGGGGGGGGGGGGGGCTATGGTCCGGGAGGAAACCAGGATAATCTTAGTCTGGGTGGCAAAGTGGATGGGATGTGAGGAAAGATAGGCACCAGCACCGCATTGGGTAGCTGCTGGCTTACATTTTGCCCATGTTAGCAGTGAAGTTCGATGAGTACCTATTGCATTGCCATTTAGAATTATCAACTTTTCTTGGTGAACTTCGCTCCGCGGACAAGAGAACTGCAATCTAGTGAGCAATACGGAGTACTCACAATAACCGGCCCCCTCGAACTGAGGAATAATTACAATCGTCCGAGCTGAGGAAAACTCACAATGAGTTCCAGCTGAGGAATACTCACAATGAGTGCCATGACGGCCTCGTCGACGGAGCCCAGCTGAATGAGCGCCATCCGGTGGTCGCGCCGCTGCTGGCCCGCCTCCGCCTCCGCGCCGTCACGCTTCCTGGGAGCAGCACACCCGCCGGTGACGTCAGACGGTGACGTCACACCCACACGGCCGGCGGTCGATCGCACCTGGGCCTTCCCACCATGACGACACAGCAACACGTGCGGCAAACATACATAACCGGGCGGCCGAACGACGATTTGGCGGCGGCAAACGGCGGCGTGTGGGGAATCGTACATTCATGGGCGGCACTTAACCCTTTTACGTGCGTAAGTGCTTCATTCGTACTGGCCTATCTCCTTGAAGTTATTATCCTATTCCAGTATGGAAGGACGGTAGGTCCCAAGTTTGTAAGTCATTTTATACTGCTCAGACTGAGCAGTCGAAGTAGCGGCGGCGGAGGCACAGCGGCGGAAGCCAATATCGCTTCTCGTGCAAAGATGCAAATGAAGTCTGAAATGAAAGTCTCACTTTTCGACGATGGTCGCAGAGATGAGTAATTCAAGACGAAATTCCCAGAACTCTGAGAGAAACTACTGGCCTCCTAGAAAACATCGTCCCCAGGGGAGTCTGCGGAACAAAATCGAACGTACCGAATGCACCGCAGCGTATTGGACCCCGCCGGACCAGCCGGAGTTCACTGCCCCCGGCCCACTCACGGGAAGAACTTGAAGGCCTTGACGTCGAAGCTGGCCACCTCGAAGGCCTGCCGGATGTCCTGTTCGGTGACGTGCGGCGGGATGTTGGAGAGATGCAGCGTCGCCGACGGCGGGTAGATGTTCTGGTAGTTCTTGCTGCCCGGCTTCTTGAAGCGGTGCAGCGACGAGTTGGTGAAGTCCTTGGTGAGGCCGGCGTCCGGCTGGCCGTCCTTGGGCATCTGAACGGTCTGGTGTTTGCTGGGCATCACCCGGATCTGGCGGCCCCATACCTTCACCTTGTCCAGGTGACTGAGCGCTGCGGGCACACAGGCCAAAGGTCGGCACGGTCAGACACGGCACTCCATCAGACTGAGACGGCCATCCGGCAGGGAGATGGCCGTAATGACATTGGCGAACATTAGGCAAAGGTTAGGTATGGCGAACCAGGTCGCTAACGCTCACACAGGAACTCGTGATCGTACGTGATTGCGACCGTTATCGCATTTATTCGGAATTCTTAAGTAGGATCTGTGTCGGACTGAGGTCGGAGGTCGAAAAGCCCCGCTGAAAACAACACGGGAACTCCCCTGACTCCCTGTGGGACGGTAGTGTCAGCCTTGGGTCGCCGAAGTGTCACGCGAATGTGGCACGGCACGTTCCAACAGAGTCAGGGGGCACGACCTGTACCCGGCCGGGGACCGGTGAACCCTGGGCCATCCTCCCCTCACGGTGCGGGCGCGCTCCCGGACCCAGGCTGCAGTGTGCCGGCGGCCCGTGACGGACGGACCCGGCCGTCGGCCGAGGGAGACGAACGGCGCCCGCCCCGACAACGGCCGCCCGGGGACACATTGGCACGACAAACCATTTTTTAATCAGACTTTATGGCGGCAACCGCTGCCGGGGAGCCATAAAGTTGGCCGAGCGGCGGCGACGGCAGAGCACACTCACCCACACTGGCCTGGTGCGGCTCGAGCATTTGTACCAGGGCGTTATCCTTCTTGTTGAAGAGGATCTTCACCCGCTGTACGTCGCCGTAGACGCCTGCGAACGCCGGGTGAGGTCAGTGGGGACCGGGTCGCCGGGCGCGCGACATGGCATCACGGTGCGCGCCGGATTGAAGTGCCACCCCGACCCGATACTGACGGCCGTCTCCGTACCGACCGGGGGCGGCGGGGCACGGCGCCGCGCGGAAACGGCCACATTTGACACAGCGGAACTGATTGGAGACCTCGGTCCGGGCGTGTGAGCGGGGTCGGGTCCCCCCTCCCGCCCGCCCCTCCGTCCCAGCCCGGCTTGACCCCGACCCGCGACCCGCGGCAGAGCGGCGGCCCGACCGCCCGCGACAGCAGCACGTGACGTACCGAAAAGAGTGAAGAGAGCTTCAGGAGAGGCCATCTACAGGCGGAGGCGCACAGGCGAAGGCGCGCACACGCGCGGCGGGCAACAGGAAGAGAAAACAGACCGATTAGAACAGGCACGGCAGATGCACGTCAACACAGTGTGAATGGTGATAGCGCTGCGTAGAGTCACTGGGTGAATACCTACTGTCGAGACTAGTTCACGCACTAACTCACTACATGGGATCGAGCATACGGTAAAACAGCACTAGCCACTACGCATAGTAAATTACTCTGGTAGGGTTCAAGTGGCAAAGTACGAACAACCCGTTACGTTTAAAAGTTTATTTTTTAGCTGAACTTCGATAAACTCAAAGTTCCTCTGCTCTGGCGGGAATTAGCCAAATATGGGGTAAGCTAAACGTTTTAGGAATTAGGATGCGATGTGTTATGAAATCTGGGCACTTTGTGCTGAAGCAAAATATATTTCACCCACGCTTATTCTGCTGGTAAGTTAACATGACAAAGGTCTTCTCTAACTTCCCCACTCAAAAGCGACGTTTTAGATTAGACAATCAAATCCCAAAGCGAGACGACGGACGGACTAAAAGCTTCTTAAAAAATAAAGTGCTATTCATACCGAAGCTGCGGGTGGGGGGATTTTTTATCCCAGCGGGACTGCGTCAGCACACGTGTGTCACAGGGAGCCAGCAGTAGGATACTCGTTCAGCACGTGACGGAGGCCAAAACGTGAGCGGGTATGTGCTGAGCAGTCGCTGCGGTGTGTGTGTGAGGGGGGGGGGGAGATAAAGCACCCCGGGCAGTGCGGCACCCACCTCCTCGTCCAGGTTGGAGACGAGCAGCACGGAGCCGGTCATCGGGTGCCCGGGCAGCCGGCCCGTCATGCCCATCGAGGCGCCCGGCAGACCGCCGGGGACCATGCCGGCGAACGGAACTGCGGGTCAACGAGGGAGGGGTGTCACCAGCGGCACACGAGGATAAGAAAACTTGACCCCGTCCCTCCCGGGGCGGTGTAACTTGTTACAGGTCGGTAAAACCAACGAACACGTGATAAAACTAGGCGACGTAGCCGTGTAGACGGCATCATGCGGCTCGCGCGCACAGTATGAAAAACAAAGCGTATGACGTAAGCCGGGAATGTTTGCAAGATTGTATTAATCTAACTACTTCCCCAGCCACAGCAGCCAAAGCAGTCTGCCTAATGTCTCGTGCGTAGCCCCACGGGGCACAGCCACCCCGGCCGCTCGCAGTGGCGGGCTCGAACCTTGCGGTACAGTATACCTTCAGGCGTGCACTACTAGCGACACCTATACGCGCGAATACAAACTATGACTGTCTTTCGTCTGTGAGTGGCGAAAGGAATTTGACGCGAAACTCTGCAACAATTTCCATAATGATTGAATGAATGAAGTTCAATTTAGAAGAGAAGAGCTCGAACTTTTCCGGATACCCAATCGTAAAATACTGACAACCAGTGCAACAGGCTTGTTTTCTCTCCACAGCCAGCGTGAGCGAACTCCCGTAAAAGGTCGGTAAAAAACTTTTAATCCCAAGGAAACAAAGTCCTTAGCCACCGTGAAAGCGGGACGCAACAAACTTTTCCGGAAGTTCTCTGCAGGGACACGGGAAGAGAGACTCGGCGCGCGCTGCAGGCGGTGACAGCTTTTTAATTGCTTTCCCATCGTCAATCCCCCTCCCCCTCTCTAACGGCAGGGTAGATGAGGCTCAGTGTCCGAACTCCGGCCAACTCATCACAGCAGCAGCCTTCTACCAAGCAATCATCTACGGGTGACCCAACGGGCTGCAGCGGGTGAGCGCGCCCCAGATGAGAACAGAGACGGGATCGAAGACCGGAGGCACGATTGTGGGATGGAGAAACGAGACTACGACGGACACAGCGAGAGATAGAAAAGAGAGAGAATAGAAAGAGAGCGCCAACCTGAACGGCCGGCGCCGGCGGCAGCACTGGCGGCCTCTGAAAGACAGAGAGCGAGAGGAGTCAGAGAGGTGGCCAGCAGAAGGCCAGTACAGAGACAGGTGCCGAGAGCTGGCCGCAAGTACAAGGCGAAGAGGCGCAGCATAGCACCCGGCCTCCCAGGAAGCCAGTATAGCCAGTTCATAGGCGGAACTGATCAGACAGAGTACGCAGAGTTACAAATGCAGAGAGAAATATAGGTTACAGAGGCGTGCCTGGAAATAGAGAGGCAAAGCAAAGTGCACGTATATGCATAATTCATCTCTGAGAGCAGCATGGGACGGCGGTCGGGTTCGTGGAGCCGAGAGGGCTGAACTGAGGGTGGGTGGCGGTCAGTGGGTCCGCTGCGGGTGGAACTGATGGGTGAGCACGCTCCTGGTGCCGACTCACCTCCCATGCCGGCAGGGAACCCCCCGGCCAGGCCAGGCGCCAGGCCGTGCAGGCCGAACGGGGACAGCATACCCGGGGTGCCGCCTGCGGGAGGGGAGGGGCGGGCACAGGTCAGACGGGGTCGGTGGGAGGGGCACAGGGTCACTGCCGAGACCCGGGCCGGGTCACAGGTCAGACACTGCCGGAACCCGGGGCAGGTCACTGAGCCAGACACACCTGAACCGGGACAGGGCAGGACGGGGGACGGGCCTCGACTCATGGAGTCCCGGACAGACCTCACAGGCCGCCACCGTTACCAGCAGGCGCTGATCGAACCCCGAAACATCTTATCGAGTCTCATAAACAGTGCGCACCGCCCGCCGACTCCATCAACAAACGCCAGCTGACGTACTCGGAAGGCGAGATACCGGAGCTTGACGTCACCAGCGCTACATAAAACCCGACGTCACCAACAGGCAAAGCGAGATCGGGATACGTTCAAAACAGTGGGCAACTTCTGAACTCAGCTTACATTATTCTTCCAGCTCAGACAGGAATATTAAGGCAAAGCGTAAAAGCAAACACCCACCACCATCACCCAATGAAGCTGTGGAACAAGCGAGACAATGCACGTGGGACAACGGTGTCACACTTCAACTTAGGGCGGCACTTGCTGCGACTGTGAGACAGCGGGGGGGGGGGGGAAGGAGATTTCAGCAGACGCTCAGCATGTCCAGTGTCTGGTCTGCAGCTGAAGCGTACTCCTGCTGAAAGCCATCATATGATGTCTCGTCACTGTCGTCTGCACACCCACCCACCACCAAGCCAGCGGTAATTGGGATCCAGGCGCACCGCGTCGGTCTGGGCTGGGTCGGTGTGCTGGATGCGGTTGCACCGGTGAGTCATGCAGGCGGGTCAGGCCGGTACATGTTAGTGGTAGCCGGATACCAAACACACACACAGCGGGGGACACGTGACGGGCGAGTCAGCCACCAGCACCGGTCGGGGGCCCACCGGAGCCAGCCAGCCTCCGCGGGGCGGGCCGCAGTCACCAAGCGGGCGGGAGAAGCAGGGCGGGGGCGGGGGCGGCCGGGGGGGGGGCCTCCCGCGGGCGGCCGGCGGGCGGCCCGCCGCGGGGAGGCTGGCTGGTGCCGGGCCCGGGGCGTGCGTGCCATCACCTACCTCCCAGGATAAAGGCGGACGAATCGAGCGTGGGGTCACCTGTGGGCAGGCTGGGGTTGGTGTAGTCGCGGGACTTGTCGTTGTTGTACTTGACGTTCAGGCTGGGCAGCTTGGAGTATTCGATGCGCAGAGTGCAACACGAGTTGTAGATATTTTGGCCATCCAGTTGCTGGGAACAGCGGTTATCGGTGGTAAGGGTAGTGCGGTCCACCATGCACTGCGAGTTAAATGGTTGCACGTCCGGACCCCGTATTTCCAATAGCGCCGCGATACGGCGAGCTCAGAAAAGTTCAAACGTTAATTGTTTGCATATTTGACAGAAGTCAACGGAGAATACCAATGCATACACGACGCAAAATATACCGGTACATATGCAATATGCATTATGCAAGCAGTGAATAACCACGTTAATGCAGCCTCGGTAGCGCATACTTGACTGAGAAAACGTATGATTAAGCTCCATGTTTTCAGCGGTGTTGGGTGTTTGTCGTCATTTCATTACATAAATTTCCATTCAGAGCGCGTCCCCTGAAAGCCGAGCCAGACCCTGTTTTCGCTGCTCGCTAAAACTTGTGTAATTTTGTTGTCGACGAGTCGGCCCAACTTTGGCATTGTTCGTCGTGATTTGACATAATTGGCGCTGGCTGTCGGACACGGGTGAGGGGCGGACGCGTCCTCTCAGGCAGGCACGCTCCGCCGGGGCTCATCTCGCGTACCACCGGGACACTCACTCTGACAGAGGTCAATAACGCCGGCAGCGGTCTCACAACCAGCAATCGCAGCCAGCCGGTGGCCATTCCTGCTATTCAGGCTTATTCGAGAGCCAATGAGCTTTTGAAATAGTAATGACCGAAACACTGACATTGGCTGAAATACAAAACATGGACCTGCGATTAAAATGTATTGCAGTTACCAAACAGCGCCGGAAGTTATAAATCCCGAGACTCTGGTCCTCGTGACTGCTGACAGCTCACGTTTCGTGTAGGCGAATATAGCGCCACATGAAATCCTTCCTGTTCGGAGTCGGATACCAGCAGGGGTGGAGATCTGTCAAAATTTCAGGGGGGGGGGGTCCAGGCTGGGCAGATGGAGGCGGGCTGGATGCAGTACCATTGACTTACATAGCAGTAATTCGTTTTCAGGGGGGTCCTGACCCCCCCCCCCCCCCCCCGAGATCTCCACCTCTGGATACCAGTAAGGTATAGTCGACTACAGAATGATGTTCCACTCCTCAGAAGCTATCAGTTGACCGGAGCGCTAAGTTGTGCCGTTTATCATGCAATTAAGCGTGTCGATTGTGAGCATTGGGACAAAGCTATAATTTGTGAACTCAGCCCGTGTGATGCGGCACAGCCTACCACTCCAGGCAAATAATTGCCTGTGAAAAGTGGAACATCATTCTGTAGTCGACTATACACGTCGGCAAAATAAAGCGCATTAAATTTGTTGCACGATGCGATGCTTTAGTCATTTGCTACGTGCGACACCACTCCCTTTGAGAGCGAAATATTTCCTAAACGAATGAAAGCTGTATTATAGGTGCAAGAAGTAATGTGACTACAAACAGAGGCCAATTTAGTGATAGCCAGCACTCAAACGATAGTTAACAATGAGCGGGGCAGCACAAAAGGTTAGTCCGACGGAGGATGGGAGAAGGAGAGCCTTATCCGAGTGGAGGGAGAAATTTCATTAGCTGCAACTATTGTGACACGTTTTGCGCAAGAGCGAGCATCTGCATGCTAATACACAAAAGGCATGCGAATGATTGTAGCGATTTAGAACTCCTGCTTCCACGTAACCAAGAAAGCTATATTCCGCTCTCCTCCGAGCCTCTCAGCCAACTGCCCAGCAATCACACTCCCAACCAGACCATAGCTCTCACGCACACGTCATCGCGCATCATCATTAGCCAATCACATTGTCATACGTCATCCCCTGTGCAACTGATCAGGGGGCGTAACCCGGCCGCCCCGACGTCCGGCGGCGGCGGCGGATGACTCACACTGGGTCACCGGGTCACGTCCCGCAGCTCAGTCTCGCCGCGCGCCTGACTCATACGCTACTCACATTCCCTATTGTGTCCATCATGCTACATCACACATCATGTCATTCACTCAACTCATGACCGCTGACTACACCTCCACCTGATTATCAGTAATCATCATCATTATTCATCATCAACATCGATACACTCGCTTGGCACACTCTGTCCATACAGCTCTTCCGGGGCTCTTCTCACACGTGTACTACGCCGCAGTACGGTTTGGCCATTCTGTTCTCGTTGGGCTTCCGTAACCTCACTCTGAGCGTCCTCCCGTGCACCGCTGAACGTCTCACTCGGAACGTCAGCTGCATCTTCACTCGTCTCCACCGGTGCTCCCGTATCGGGCGGCTCGGGAGGCGGGGGGTCAGTGTCCTGTCCCGTCCCCGACACCGAACCGGACGGCTTCTCGTGCAGCCGCAGCGTCCTGATCTCTGATAGGCAGTCTTCAGGTTCGGACTCACAGTCACTCATACTGTCTGTGTCGCCAACCTCCTCGAACCGTCGTCGGACGCAGCGCACATGCCACGGGGCACCATCCACCTCCACCAGTGGTGCCGGTAACAGTCGGGTCACCACGCCCCGCCGCGACACGTCCGTGCACCGCGTCGGCTGACCTCGGCGGCGTATCCACACAGCGTCACCGACCCGGAACGCTTTGCGTGCACTCTGGACGCCATCGTCCACTTTGGACACCGCTCGGCCGGGTTCGTCGATGTTCAGCGGGAGGTCGTGGCCAGCGCGCTGGAAGACACCTGCTGCAGGAGCGCTGCTAGGATGCATCCCGTCACGAGGCGTGGCGTTATAGCGGTGCACTGCTTCCCCGATTGTACAGCCTTGTCGGGCTGCCATCACCTTGACTGTCCGATGGTGGCGCTCGACGATGCCGTTGCCGCCCGCCTCGTGCACCGCCCGGAAGCGCAGCCGGACGCCCCACCGCGCGGCGAATGCCGCCATCCGACGACTGCGGAACTCCGTGGCGTTGTCCAGCAGAAGCTCTGCGGGCGCGCCTCTTTCCAGGAAGATGTTTTCCAGCTGGTTCGTCACCTCAGCCGCATCTGACCGGCGCAGTAGTCGCCAAATTCCATACCGGGATGGTCCACAATCAATAACAGTCAGATAGGACCGTTCCCGGTAGTGCGTAACGTCGATCGCCAGCCGTTCCCACGTCAGCGGCACACTCAGTGACCCTTGCTGCCAACGTACCGGTGCTGGGTCAATGGACTGGCACACATCACACTGTTGGATCACGGCGCGCACTGCCGACCGGGTGGCACGGGCGTCTTCATTCCGCCGCACGTACCAGAGGGTCCGACGGACTCCCTGATGTCCAGTACTTTCGTGCACTGCGCGTATCCGTGCGGGGTCGACATCCGGCCGTGGGTCCGCGATTGCCGCGGCAGCCACCGGCCGTGCGGCAGGCTCTGGGTCCGGTGTTTGGAGCCACTCCTTTGGCACACGGGTCAGTGCATCCGCCAGGTTGTCTGCGGACTTCACCAGGACGACTGTCAGCCTCAGGTTGAACTCCTCCACCAGCTGACGGATGACGTCGATCCTCCGGCGGATGAGCATTTCCCCGTGTGCCTTCGTCCGCAGGCGCGAGCGGCCGGTCAGGGCGTCATCGATCCATTTGTGGACCGTAGCCGAGTCCGTGCAGAGATCGATGATGGTGATGCCCCAGGCGATTGCCATGTTCACGCCGCTGAGCGCCGCGTCCAGTTCAGCCATGTTTATGTGCATCGCCGCCTTCGACTCAGGCCGCAGCCAGCTCGCATCCTCCACGACGCCACCCTCGGGGTCCTCCAGGACGACGCCGGCCGCGATAGAGCTAGCGTCCGTCCAGACCACCAACTTGCCCCCCTTCAGCCGCCATGGGCCTCGAGCCGGGTCACTGTCGTTCAGTCGGGTCACGACATGATCGACCTGCCCGCGCAGCCCCACGTCCTCTGTTGGGTCGTCCCATCCTGCTGTTAGAGCATTGACGCGCCGTTTGAGCCACGCGGCCGCTGGTCGCAGCCATCCCACCACTGGCAGATGGGACACCAGCTGACCACACCAAGCAAACACAGCCCGACGCGTCAGCACTTCCGGGGGCGCCGGCACTGGGTTGTCACGACGCCAGCACAGCTCTCCAGCGACCGCACTCACCCGCAGTCCGAGCAGCCGTGCTCCCTCCGCCGCCCGCTCCGGCGGCTTGCAGTCCAGGCCGTACCGGGCGAAGTGCTCCACCACGTGGTCCGCGCTGACGATTTCTTCGTCCACCAGGAGATCGTCCACATAGGGCAGCACTCCTCGGGCCACCACTTCATCCTGGAGCAGGACGGCTCTTACCACGGCCTTCATGACAGCCGGTGCGATGCTCAGGCCGAATCCGATGCGAGTCAGGCAGTATCTCTGACCTCGCACCTCCACCGTCTGGTACGGTCGCAGCCGCCGATCCAACCGGAGCTGAAGGTACGCCTTCCGCAAGTCCACTACAGCAATGCGAGCGCCATGCCGCCGCCAGCGACGAAGCTGATCGGCGCAAACGTCCGCATCTGCAGTGTGTGCGATTATGTGACCATTCAGCTCACGGTAGTCCAGGACAGGCCTCACCTTGTCCTGATTTGGCTGCGGGACCGCCATCAGAGGGATTAAACCTCGGACTGGGCCATCCACCCGCTCGTCGTACGGCTGCAGCCATCCTTCCCGGATCCACAGCTCCAGCTCGGCGTCATATGCTGATCGAGCTTCCGGCGGCACGGCATACTGGGCGACCTGGTTCTGCAGATACTCCGGGCCTTCCCCGTCTGCCCACTTCCATGCCACCGTCCACTCTCCAGTTCGTGCCTCGAACCGGGCCGAGAAGTCTGCTGCATCCAGCGCCAGCCCCTGGGGGTCGACCTCAGCCGCCGCCGCCGCACAGATCCGCACGTCTGTCGGCGTCCTCAGGCTGATGCCACCTAGGGCCGTGATGCCCGACATGCCCAGCACCATGTCCACTCCCAATGGACGATCAGGCACGACAAAGGCTGCGAGCGTCACTCGTTTGCCTTGGCACTCCATGGTGACTTTGGCCGTCCCACTACACCGCAACGACCCACCGTTCACAGTCCTCATCATCACCGTCCGCGGTGTCCACTGCTCACAACAATCCTTGTGCACGAGCGTGTCTGTGCAACCAGTGTCCACTAATACACGCCGCTCACGACCGTCTACCTTGCTCTGGATCACAGGGAGGACGCGATCTATTGCTCCGGGGACAGTGCTCGCGCTGACACGTCCCCCGAGGCGTTTGGGCAGGCCGCGGCGAGATGACCCTCAGTCCCACACGTCCAGCAGCGTCTGGGACGAGGTGGGCGCTTCGGTCGCTGCCGCCGCTGCAGATCATTGTGAACCGCCGCCACAGCTTGCGTCTGGTCATTACCAAGCACCGCCCGCGCGCGGGCGACTGTGCTCTCCAGACTGAGTTGCTCTGACCTGGTTCCTGCTCGGATTGTGTCCGCCACGGACGCCGGCAGACCGTTGACGAAGGCAGCTACCAGCTGTCGGTCCGTCACGCCGCCGAACAGGGCAGCATAGCGGCGCAGACTCGCCAGGAAGACATCAGCGCTCTCTCCCGGCTCTAGCCGACGTGCGACGAATGCTGTGTGAGCCGCGAAGTCGTCCATGGCGAACGCCTTAAACAAGGCGTCTCGTGTCGCCGTTGCTGACCGGCGGTCCACCGCGGACAGCTGTGACCACACGGCGAAAGCACCACCTTTCAGCCGCATGGGCAACACCTCCGCCGCCGACACACCGCGATACTCACAGAGCAGTGACGCCTGCGTGTGCCATTCGACGACGTCGCCGCTCCCGTCGTACTCGTCGATGAGGCGAGGATCGAGTCCAGCTCCGAGACGGACCTGCTCAGATTCCTGCACCACAGCGCCCGTCTCTGTCGGTGTGTCCATGATGATGTCGAAATGCCGAAATAGCTTGTAGCGATTTAGAACTCCTGCTTCCACGTAACCAAGAAAGCTATATTCCGCTCTCCTCCGAGCCTCTCAGCCAACTGCCCAGCAATCACACTCCCAACCAGACCATAGCTCTCACGCACACGTCATCGCGCATCATCATTAGCCAATCACATTGTCATACGTCATCCCCTGTGCAACTGATCAGGGGGCGTAACCCGGCCGCCCCGACGTCCGGCGGCGGCGGCGGATGACTCACACTGGGTCACCGGGTCACGTCCCGCAGCTCAGTCTCGCCGCGCGCCTGACTCATACGCTACTCACATTCCCTATTGTGTCCATCATGCTACATCACACATCATGTCATTCACTCAACTCATGACCGCTGACTACAATGATATTGCGCATTGCATTTTTATTAGATTTGTAGAATCATTTTTTACCATTCTTTTGCAGGACTTGCGACCTGTTTCTGAATCCGCTAATGATAGGGAGATTGGGATAGATAGCGCCACGAATGGTGACCTGGAGCCTCCAGGCTGCCTCGACTTTGTTTATTACCTCGCTACACCACGGATGTGTTCTTTGTACACAACACGGTGAGCGGTAAACTAATATCGTTACCTTGGTCGCCCATCAGTCTCTACCTGAAGCTAAAGAGCCCCAAGGATCCTGGCGCCGTTAGTCTAACTAAGAGGAACGTCACGGCGGCAGACGTCACGGCTGCGCAGGCCGTGCGACGTCACGGCTACACGACGTCACGGCTACATGAACCATACTGTGACGGCCCGGCACAGCCAGGCTGAGACAGTTACCCGCAGACTGCACGGGCAGTCATTCATTTATCGAACGGTCGTTCAGGGGCTGATGTGAAGCTGAGCGCTCACGTAGGTCTGTCTGCCGCCGGCCGCGGCGGCGGTCCGTCCATTGACGCGGACCGATCGCCGTTTCCGGCGGCCGTGCCGCGACACACGGCCGGCCGGCCGGCTATCTATAGGTGCCGGACCGGGGCCGGCAAGGCTCGGCACGGACGCGACATGATGTCAACCCGGCCAGACTGTTGGCAAACACCGCAGCACCGCCGGCGCCCGCCCGCCACGTGGCCGCATCAAACTGCGCGCCATCGACACACCGGCGTCAAGTCGCGCAGAGAGGCAATCTTATCGCGCGGATTAGCTGGGCGGGTGTCAGAAATCGTCCCGTGCAGCCAGAGATTGGAGGCATGTTCAGTGTTCACGTACGTAAACAGTCGGCACCCGTTCCAACCGAGGCGATCAGATCGTGTTGCGTAAGAAAATACAGTGTCCGTGCTGTTCCTGTATGTAGGGTTTCGTTCTGAACGGTGTCTCGTTTGATTATGCCTGGGCAGTTGGCAGCCCAATCATTCTGACCAGAGTCGCGTCAAATAAAAATATTATCAAATCTCGACTCAATCGAACGCCGCCCCTGTCAGTTGGCTAGAATCAGGCCTAATATACGTCTATTCAGGCTGGGAGCGGGCCTAAAATAGCGCCGGTCTAACCGGCACGATCGGCGCGGGGCGCGCCGAGCGGAACCGGATTAATATCGACCGGCCGCGACGTGACCGAACTGAGCCGCGCCCGGGCCGCGCCCCACTCACCAGTTTGGCCGCCTGCGCGGTCACCACGTCCGGGTACTGGATCAGCGCCTGGAACGAGTTGTTCTTGGTGAACGTGACGATCTTCAGCACCTTGCCGACCCGCGAGAAGATCTGAAACAGGGGGACGCGCGCGGTCAGTGTTTGACGTCCCGAGCTCCGGTGACCGGGTGACAGCCGGGGCAGCGCGGCCCGCCGGTCCTCCTCTGAAAATACACATGGCGACATTGACGTAAGCGGTCTAACCATGGTGTCGCAATGAATGGTCGGCCCAGGAGGCGGCGAGAGGACTGCCGGCTCGGCTGTGACCGCCCGGAACTGCTTATAGCGCAGGTCACGGTACGTGTCCTGGTCACCAGCAGTCGGTATACTCACTGACAGAGCATGGCAGGCATGTCGCAACTATATAAAAACTCATCACTCCCTGTTATCCATGGCCTGCTGACAACCTATGATATCACGGTGTCGAGGAGAGCAGTGGCCACCGTTTTACGCATCATTGGGTGTGGAATGGCTCCGTGCCGGGTTTGGCGCGACTTGTCCACGGGGGAGTTATTTGCATTCATGCATACTGGTAACCCCGCTGCTGGTCGCCGCGATCGGCAGTAATAACTGATAATCCCGCTTCCGGTCCCAGGGATCGGTTGTGATAACTGATAACCCCGCTGCTGGTCGGCAGCAGTGGATAACCCGCTGCTGGTCTGGTCCCTGCAATCAGCAGTGATACGGAGGCGGGCGGGTCTCCCAACAGGCATCGAGCGGCAATCCCATTTATGAGCGGGCATGCTCCGTGACATTGCCCAGGTATGCTGGTTGCCACATTGCTCACAGGGGAACGACAGTGGTTGGGTACGTTGTCGGTAAATCAGACCACTGTTCTAATGTGAGCATTGCCCATTGAGCTGTACATAACGACAACAGCACCGTAAAAGGACAGTAAAATGAGGAGTGGACCGTGGGACACCGCATGGAATCGTTAACTAGCCATTCCCAATCACCCATCAGGGGGCAGTTGTCACACAAGGCACGGACGGCGCCGGGCCGGGAGGTGGCGGTCTGGTTGAATATTAAACAAACGTGCAAAATGCCCGCAACGAATGTAAGCTGAAAGCGGTCGGCAGCACAAATCAGTGGCGTCACATTGATTCCAGACCGCCGTTTAAGTGTATAGGGCAGTACCTATATGTCGTGTCAGTTTCCATCAGCCAGGGGACGGTTAGCTTTGTAGAGTGCTAAGTCCGTGAGGGAATGTCTGTCCCGTGCGTCAGATTCAGGACAACGGCTGCAAAGAAATGGACACAGAACTTTCTTTCAAAGACAACTTTTAAATTTTTAACTAATCAATGTGAACAAATAAACATGAAAACACCCACAATTCGCAAGGGCTTGTAACAGCCCAGTTAAACTTGTCTGGGAAAAAGTTCCCTGCGCCCTAAGAACTAATCGACGCGCCTTTGATGGACAAAGAAAGAAGAGTGGACAGAGAACATGAAGCTCAACTTATTTCCACAACTTCAGCAGTGCTGGGAGAGCGACGGAGAAAGCAGAGTTGGGAGCAGACCGCGGCGAAGGGCGGTTCAGCCAGTGCCGTTTGCCATTTCCTTAATTCACCACATTTCTCAAAACAGGAAACTCTCCTCTACGCCGCCCTCCCGGGACGAGGTGGGAGTGCTCTCCGGCGAGCCGGCGCGTCCGACCTCGCGGCAATAATTGATCGCGCCTCCCCCCAGACGGGCCAGCGCTCCCACTGCCTGGAGAAGTGGGGGAGTGGATCAACAAAACACGGGAGAGTGCCCGTCCAGCGACACTCGGGAGCTGTTCGAGCACTTACACTGCCGAGTACCTGTCAGATCTCCTTTTTGCTCTGTGTTATGTAGACAGAACATCCCGACTAAGCGCAGCCTATTCACAAAGCTGAATCATATATATGTTTCGCCGCTCCACCTGTACCCATGAGACGTAGCGAGAAACGGTAGCAAACGATGCGTGGCGCTCGAGCAGGACGATAATGGCCGCGCTCGATCGACATTCATTATTGACCCGAGATGATGGCGGGGCGGGGCGCGGTGGGGGCGGTCGCACCATTACCTCCCCATCCATGGCAGCGCCGCTCGCAGTTCAATTAAGGACGGAAATTGGAGCAGCGACCACCACTCAGAGCACCATATTCCCCCGGGGCGAAGCCATCGCCGAGTCCCTAAAGTGGCGGCGACCGCCACTCCGCCGGCGGGGGCGGAGGGCGGGAAGGGGGAGCCGTCTCGGCCGGCAGAGACGGCCGTCCAAGTTCTCCAATCAGCACCACGTCGCCCGGTGACCCGGCGACAATTACGGCCTCCGGTGGGCCGGGCGCGCTTGTTAGCCGTCAGCGGCCGCGGCCGGCCGTCATCCGCACGTGGCACCGCCGCCGCCGCCGCCGCCCGATCCGGCGACACGGGCTAATTAAGCCCGGCTAGAGGCGAGCCGGGTCGTTACTGGACACGTTTGAAGTCGGCAGTCGCCTGCAGCGGCGGCGCCCCGCCCGGCCCCGCCGCGGGAGCCGGTGTCGGTTCCCGGGAAGGGGACGGAGCCGGGGTCCGCGCCAAACGTGGCTGGTATCTTATATAAGGACGAACACGGGCCGGCCCGAGTGTGAGGCTCGTACAGGTGGGTGTGCTTAAGTTACCCTGGACTTGCCGGCCGGATGGGCCGTTGGCTCGCCCGACCCGACTGACTGGTCACTCGCTCCGCCAACACACACGCACCGTCCATTACCGACCGCCATCAATTTTTCACCGCCAAACTTTGAACTCTTTGTAGGCGTTGATGCCCGGCAATGCAAACAGGTCACTACAGGGCTATCCATTTTTAAGTGCGCTGGAAAAGTCAGTCCCATTTATCCATCACGCACCGAGCACGGTCGGCTCGTATTATATTTCAGTTACGCTGCGACCAAGACCACTAATGCTGGTACATCTGCCGAAGTTCGGAGACACAGCGCTTTGCTCCTTGGGTGAGACATTGGTGCCTTGTGCGATGGCAATCTCCCGAAGCAAGACTTCATGAGGTCTACAGATATAGACGGTATAGATCAGCGCTGCTCGAGCGAAGACAGGAGGTCCGGGATCGTCAGATAGTGACGCCCAGTGATACAGGTCTGAGGTCACGCCCAGTCTCTGACCTCGCACCTCTGACGTCCTCACGGTGCACCGTGACGGTAAACACACACTACCTCCGGTGACGACGTGCCGCGGCCTACTGCGCCGTGTCTGTCGCGGCAGCGCCGATACTGCCTCGGCAGCCGGCAGGACGGCGACGAAGGCCGGCATAAACAGAGCTGAAGAGCCGCGGCACCGCCCGACGGTCGTCGAGGGGAGCAGACGTCAGGAGCAGGGAAGCAGAGGTCGAGGGAATAAGGAAAGAGATTCATTCGCCGTGCAAGCGACGAACGAACATACCTACCAGTTATTAGATAAAGCGCCCAGTGCCCTGAGCTGCCCTGGCCTCCATTAGCACTCTAGGGTTCCGTCAATCGACTTGGACCTCGGTTAGGAAAGTGGCACCATTAAGGTGATGCCATATGCCAATGATGACCGGCTACATTATCGGAAACACATCTGTCCAAAAATTTATCAATAAGTGCAAACGCCGACAGGTATTGAGCGTGCCATTATTTATGCATTTCCCAGTAATTGGAATGCTACAAATAGGACGAGCCACTCAGGGCGCTTGGCGCCAAACAGATCGTTGTTGGAATAAATAGAAAATGTCTCGTCTATAATAACGAGTGTTAATGGAGAAACTGACTATTGCAGAAGTAACTGATATCGAAATTCCACTCACTCACACTGCCAAGTGTCATGTGTCATATCTCTAACGATCGACACAAATGACAAATTTAACAAATGCCGAGCTTTGTCGACAACAAAGTGACGTTTGATGAAAACATACTAGTCGATGGCGTCTAGTACCTGACTAGACATACTAGTCTAGTCAGGTGTGAACATATCAATCGGTAAGGGTGCTCTGTTGCCTACCAATTTGTCCTCGAACAGCGTCAGCTGGAAGGAAATGTCAATATTGGGAGGAATATGAATGTCGATGAAAGGAAACAAGTGACACTTAGGTTCTTCATAAACTAAGAATATCGCCTACGCAGTCATTGTGGGCATGCTTGTATGCTTAATTATGTTATTTTATTAGACGGATTATAGGTACACCTTTATTTTTGTCATATCGCATAGGTACAACTTTTATGCAGTTTCCACCTTTCCACCTGAGCGACTGAGCTTTCATATGGAGTATGGACGCACTATTTTTGTGCCTCACTTTTCATTTAGCTATACACCCAAGACAATTTGATGGGAACTTAGAACGAAACGACAAGCAATCACCGATCACTCCACGAAAGCCGATGTCACCTCTACGTAGTAGCTTCTCTGACGCTGGCAAATTCGCTCCGGAAATGGCGTGACACATTGCACACCGTGGGAACACGGATAACGTTGTGCACCGCCGCTCCGCGTGCGCGGAAAGGAGTCGCTGTGGACAGTTGCCGCGGCGGCATGCGGCTGTAATTCTGAGTCACCGTCCGACGTGACGGTCGGGTCAGGGCGGGCCGGACACGTGAGCCGAGCCGCGGCAGACGGCCGGGCGCCGCGCTGTCACACGGCCGCTGCATTTCTGAACAGAACTGCGGTCGATAGCGACCGGAAGCGGCCGGCGGTTTCAGAGTCGCGCCGCCCGTGCCCCGGGCGCGGTCCTGTTGCTCGCCGCAGGTCGCTGCTGACGGCTGGCAGGTTGCATGCCGACCGAGCGCGGCCCGCTGCACGCGAGCCGACCGGGCGCGCCGCTCGGCCGCGCGGCACTGAATGGGAGCGGACTCCCAGTCCAGTGCCGGGGCAGTGTCCGTTCTGCGGTAGCCATGAGGTGTGCGCTGCCGTCACAGGTCACCAAACCGATCGGCGTATTGGTGCATGAAACGTAAAGGGATACCTAATTTAGGAGAGCGGCGAAGCTCTGTGATCCGTGAGAGGCCGACCGAGCCTTATTTAGCTGGCTGCCTTCGTCCCTTCCAGACCGGGGCTCCACGGGGTGACCGGCTGGAGCCGGGACCAGCCCCGTAGTTCCGTTTTGGCCGGCCACACGAGATGACGCCAAGGCGTGACATCAGACCGCCCGAGTGCCAGCACTCGCGGCCAGCGCCAGAAAGAAGGGCAGGTTCCGGGTAGAGTCTAAACAGACTTCCGGCGGTGAAGGGCCGCCAACAAACGCCAACAACCACACACGAGGCGGCGTAAAACCCGTCGTTCAGAAATGACAGGTCACGCGGCCCGGCCGCGAAACGGCAGAGCCCCAGTCTCGGCGCCAACCGCGTATAGGGCGATGCTCGGCAGAGAGCCGCCCAACGTTCTGGATATACCTGGCTGGCGTTCTGTTCAGTGTATGCGGACCGAGTCACCCAACCACACTGGCCGGCGGACTGCTGATTTTAGCCGGCGCAGCGGCCGTCTGGGCGGCCGCGCCCCGTCACCCTGGCGCGGAGAGCGCTGCCAGGGGCGGCCCTGCAGCCTGCCGGCCCGCCGATACCGTCCGACTGCCGCTGCTGGCCCTATCGTCATAATGACCTCATGCTGCGGACGAGCCGGTCCGCCGGCAGGGGCGACGCGAGCGAGCTGGGCCGGAGAGACGGCGCCGCCGGACCGAGCCGACCCGGTGGGAAGGCGGCGACCGAAACGGTACCGCCGGCGGAACCGACTGAGGTCAGGAGGCCAAACCCTGGCCCGGGCGGCAGGGCCGGGTTTATGAAGGCGACGACGCCAGACGGAGCGTCTGCCAGCCTGGATAAATAAACACGCCGTTCGTCGGGCTCGACTGCCAGTGAGTCACACGGCGGTCGGTCCGATCGCCGGCTCTGATCTGCGGGCCGACCGGCGACGGAGGGCGACATCCGGCGGCCCGGCCCGACCGCCAACTTCAATCGCACCCGCCAGCGCCGCCGCCGACTCGTTTCCAGGCCGCCGGCCGCCGCGCCGCCTTGCTCCCACGCCTCCCTAGACGCCAGCATACCGGGAGGGATCAAATCTGCCCCGATACTGGCCCGGTACGCCAGCCGCCCTGACCTTTCGGCGCTGGAGGCGCGCTGGCAGGCGGCGGGGACGCCGCAGCTGCCGCCGCCGCTCGGGACGGACCGCCGTGCAGCCTTTGGTGGTCGGACAAAAGCCGCGCGGGCGACAGAAGACGGCGGCCGGCGCGATCGTTACCCGTTCGATCAGATGCTCACCGTCCGTGCACCCCTATTGAGTTCCGGCGGGCTCTGACGTCACGGCCGGGCCGGCCACACCGCCCGCACGGGCCGGCTTTTAGCTCATTAGGAGCACTAAAGCTCCTCTTAGGAAAGCTTCCTCGAACAAGACGATTCGTCCAATAGTCGGCACAAAGACCCACTGTGCTCTGTTTGCAAACCAATATTGGCAAACAAAGGGTGGCTTCTGTGGTATTGGCCCACGATTAGTGCAGGAACAGAAAGCGTCTCCTTATCTAGGAGGCCACACTCTCGGATAATTTAATCCAGACTAAAGCAGACCAAGCCGAATAGACGGTACCTCATCACCCTCCAACACAAAAAGATCAGATAATTGCCGGACCGGCAATTATCTGATCTTTTAACTAGACTAACTGAAATTACTTTCTTTTTAAATATTTTTCATCATTGTGTGTATATCAATCTTCGTGCCATAAGCACTAAGCAGCCCGATAATTCAATTACCACTCGGCGGCTCGGCGGATCCGCCCGATTCGTTACCAAGTCCTGGGACATCTCACAGCGCTACCTCCAGGCTCTCTACATATGATACGGATCCCCCAAACCGGTCCCGGTCCGGCTCAGCCGTCCGCAGCGACCCGGGTCGGCCCGCACCGCCCGAGGCGCTCCCGGGGGCCACATGCTGCCGCGGCAGGTCGGGGAGACCGGTCCCAGCAGGGCCGTGAGCGAACGGCCGTCCTCTCAATGGGCCGGGACATTAGCGCAGCGCCGACCATACCCGGACCGGCACCGGGTAACTACGGCAATTTGGCGCCGGGGGCAGACTCTTGTGCAAATAAATATACTTTGTAAACGGAGGGTGGAAGCCTGATGTGGAAATGCCATCTGGAGAATGGAGGCTCGAGGGAGAAGGAGAATGAAATTAGATGGGCCACCCGGAACTAGAGCGCAGGAGTAGATTGCTTTGTTCAGTAATGTGAATCGAGCAGTGTCGCTGCCAGGCTGAACTTTCCACAGTCGTGCATCAGTGCAGGCGGGGCCTGTCATGAAGGTGCAGGTGCAGCTTTAATGTCAGAGGTGCCCTTATGGATGTCTTTGCAATGAACACGAAGCGTTTCCATGGCGTGCGCAGCAGCAAAACACACATCTACCCACAATGGGCAATACTTGGCGGCGATAAATAAAGTGCAGCCGGCACCTGTCCGGGGCATGTTATCGTTCTAGTTAACAGATTTCCCACGATCAGTTCATAGGCCCAAGCTATATCCTCATTACCACCATATCCTCCCTACAACTAACAGCCGACCTTACACATTTCCATTGTCCATCGCATCCCTAAGGAATACGATGTGCCTGCACTACGTCCATCATTCACAGCCGAGCCTCAGCACGCACCCCGACCTCTCAGGGTGGGTAAGCAGAGTCCGCTGCATTCGCCTGCCGTTATAGGACATGTCTGCTCTACATGATATTAAAGGGACCCTCCCACCTTAACATTAGTTTTGAGTTGAGATAGCCAAATTGGTGGCCATGGCCTGCAAATACCGGTTTGGGCACTCACAACATCGAAAAATGCTTTAATTCGAAGATATGGAATTTCAAACTTGCAGTTTTCTGATTCTAAGGGGCTAATGCATTGGAATGCCCCCTTAGAATTTGTGACGTCAGCGGAGATCTAACGATTTTTAAATCTTAGACTAAAACCATCGTTAACACGTGGTGGTATACGCTGCTTTGCGCGCAACGTCTGCCGCACTTTAGGGCTGCCAAATTATTGCTTCCAAATAAAGTCGCTAGTAACAGGGGAGATCCCAAAAAGTAAACAAAAGTAAAAGTCTAATATCTTGAAAACCAGTGAATATTTTTCGGTGAAATTTGGTAGATATTCGTTTTCGCTCTTTCTGAACCAAGGGACATCACTTTCATGCCAATTCATTAACTTTTTTTGAAGGTGGGAGGGTCCCTTTAAGTAAGCGCCGATCGAGTGTGACAAAGCTTCTCCGATCGCACCAGCCATCGGCGCAGGAATCCAGCCGGGGGAAGGGGCACAGAGTGGACCGGCCGGCCGGGCGACCCTCACCTGCTGGAGCACGTCCAGGGTGACCGGGTAGACCATGTGCTCGATGATGATCCTGAGCACCGTGTTGGGGCCGCCCTGAGTGTCGCCGCCGGACAGCGCCTGCGCCGCCTGCAGCGCGGCCTGAGCCGAGGCGTTCTGAAACACACCGACCATGAAGTCACACTGGGAGCAGGAGCAGAGAACGTGGCGAAAACTGGGTGATATAAGTGTGATAACAACGGTGGCCGACCAATACGAGGTCCGAGCAGTCGCTTATGTTAAAACCGTCCCACTATCAGAGATATTTGCAGCTAGCCCGTTTCCACCCGCCGCCTATCTGTCCACAGTCATCTATGGCTGTCCCCTGTCGTCTCTCTACTCCCCTCGGCGCCCCCCAGCTGTCCGCCATCCCCACGGAGCCGTCTGGCGGCGGCGAGGGCGGCGGCCCGTCGCCGGATCAGGCCGGACGTGCAATCTGCCGCCGGTGTGACGCCGCCGCCGCCCGGCTAATTTCGCCGCTCCGACCAATTCGGCCGCCGGGTAAATAAGCCGCCGCCGCCGCTGCCGCCGCCCGTGGGTCGCCTGATTGTGTTACTGGCCGCGCCGGCCGCGACGTCTCGCGTGCAAGCACCCCCTGCCTCCCAGTGGCGTGCGGCGGCGAGCGACACAGCACCGGCAGCCCGCCGACAGCAGAGAGAGGCCAGCGCGGCCCGAAAACAGCCGAGATGTATGTGTGAGAGACCCGCTCAGGGGTTGGAGCGGGTGGCCGGCAGCGGCCCGAAACCACTCTACAAAATGGGTTCGAGAAAAGAGAAGGGCTGACCAAAAAAGAGAAGAAAAAACTACCCGTTCCTAATATCAATATATAACCATTAACTGCCTACAACCAGTTATTGTCCAATGTCCATGCACACATTTAAATGAAGAGAACAATGAAAATACAGTCGTTTTATCGGTACGACTGCTCGGGATGTGGTTGCAGGTTGAGAGTGCATCTGTCATAGGTGATGTATCAGAACAGGCGTGCTCTACTTCCCGTTCACTATTCGCGGGCGATCCCAGAACGGTGCTACGGCGGGGCGGCATGCACACTAGCGAGGAGAGAGAGAGAGAGAGAGAGAGAGAGAGAGAGAGAGAGAGAGAGAGAGAGAGAGAGAGAGAGAGAGAGAGAGAGAGAGAGAGAGAGAGAGAGAGAGAGAGAGAGAGAGAGAGAGAGAGAGAGAGAGAGAGAGAGAGAGAGAGAGAGAGAGAGAGAGAAAGAGAGAGAGAGAGAGAGAGAGAGAGAGAGAGAAAGAGAGAAAGAGAGAGAGAGAGAGAGAGAGAGAGAGAGAGAGAGAGAGAGAGAGAGAGAGAGAGAGAGAGAGAGAGAGAGAGAGAGAGAGAGAGAGAGAGAGAGAGAGAGAGAGAGAGAGAGAGAGAGAGAGAGAGAGAGAGAGAGAGAGAGAGAGAGAGAGAGCTCCAGCGATTCAGACACCTTGAACGTATAGAGGGGGCGTGGCCAGGTCAGCCGCGAAAATACCTGCCAGGTAACTATGGGATATGGAAGTTTCTGACACTGGTGCAGCACAGTGCAGAGGTGAGGGTACACCACAAATCATAGCTGAAGGCCTACAGGGACACACAGTAGAACAAACGACAAACAACAAATAGACAGATAGGGTAACTGGAATGTGACATTGGAACTGGAGAGCGTCTTGCTCCAATTGGTTTAAAGGTATAACAAGGTATTAACGAATAACTAGTGTTATTTTTTTTCGCTCGAGCCTCTGAAATCCGTAGAACATTTCATGCTCGGATCGAGAAAATAGAGCAAAAAGAAACAAAGTTCGAGGAGTGAAGAAAAGAGCAATGATAAAATGGCAGGGTCGCAGACACAGACGTTAAAAACAAACGATCAAAGTGCAGCAGCGCGATTCTGCTCGGGAGGCGGATCCAAACTCCATAAAACATTAGCGGCTGAGGGTCCATTTTTCGCGAGCGCGCGGAGAAACTTTGGCAGCTCGGGAGGGTAATCGGCCGGCGGGGCTCCGCTGGGAAATTCAGACAGCTTACGCTGCTGTGGCAGTCGACCTGGTCGGGGCGACCGGTCCGGTGCTGTTGACAGAGCACTCAAAAACTTCCACGCCGAGAGCTGTCGCAACTGGACTCACCAAAAAACACGGCCCGCTCGTTAGACCGTGTGTAAAAGGCAAGTTGGCCGGCCCCGCGGGGCTGAAGCGGCCGCAGTTAGCCTTTTCAATCCCGTACCGCGAGTCAAACGCTACACAACTATTTCAAAACATCCGAGAAAGAACAGGCTGGCTCTATGTAACTATGTAGCGGCAGCAAACGAAACACGACGTTTCAATATTTTGGTCAAAGCTAAATAACGATATATAATACCTCAAATGTCCTCAGACGAAAGGTAAGCGAAGAAGGTAGAATTATTGGCATCGTCGTTGACGAGTTGCCTCTAACTAAAACTTTAAATGTCATTTGAAATGGAGGCTAAATGCGTGAAGTTAATACATATCTAAATTACAGTAGTTATAATTTCAAAAGAACCAGCCTCTTATTTGACCGTGGCACGGTTGGCGTTAAACAAGCAAGAAAAATATGCATATAGGCATGGATCGTATACAGATGTTGTCACGCTCAAAATAAAGCGCATAAAAGCGGCATCACTGAAGCGGCATTGCCCTCAGAGCAGGATCTTTTGTCGACCTTTCAACGGCCAATCAGGGGCGGATCCAAGGGGGGGGGGGTCACATGGGTCATGGCCCCCCCTTGAGGCCCGGGGGCCCAAAGACCTGCCAGGGGCACCACCGGCCTATCAGGGGTATCACAGTCCTGACAGGGGCACCACAGGACCGCCAGGGGCACCACAGGCCTAGCAGGGACACCACGGGCCTGGTGCCCCTGGGCCCTGACAGGACTGTAACGCCCCTGACAAGCCTGAAGTGTCCCCGGTAGGCACGTGGTGCCCCTGACAGGCCTGAGGCGCCCCTGCAAGGGCGGTGGTGCCCCTGGCAGGCCTCTGGTGCCCCTGACAGGCTTGCGGTGCCCTTGGAAGGACTGTGGTGTCCCTGGGCCCTGACAAGCCTGAGGTGTCCCTGACAGGCCCGTGGTGCCCTTGTTAGGCCTGTGGTGCCCCTGGCAGGCCTCTGGTGCCCTTGCTAGGCCGCTGGTGCCCCTGGCAGGCCTCTGGTGCCCTTGCTAGGCCGCTGGTACCCCTGCGCCCGGAGAGGACTGGTGCCCCTGAAAAGTCTGAAGTGCCCCTCGGCAGGCCCGTGGTGCCCCTGACAGGCCCAAGGTGCCCCTGCGAGGCCGATGGTGCCCCTGGCAGACCTCTGGTGTCCCTGGCAGGTCTGTGGTGCCCCTGGCAGGTCTGTGGCGCCCCTGGCAGACCTGTGTTGACTGGTGCCCCTGCTAGGTCGCTGGTGCCCCTCACAGACCTGTGGTGCCCCTGGGCCTTGACAAGCCTGAGATGCCTGGCTATGACAGGCTCGTGGTGCCCCTGATAGACCAGTGGTGCCCTTGCTAGGCCTGTAGTGCCCCTGGCAGGCCTCTGGTGCCCCTGCTACCCCTGCGCCCGGAGAGGACTATGGTGCCCCTGAAAAGCCTGAAGTGCCTCTCAGTCTCGACAGGCCCGTGGTGCCCCTGGGCCCTGATAGGCCCAAGTTACCCCTGCGAGGTCGGTGGTGCTCCTGGCAGACCTCTGGTGCCCCTTGCAGGTCTGTGGTGCCCCTGGCAGGCCTGTGTTGACTGGTGCCCCTGCTAGGCCGCTGGTGCCCCTCACAGGCCTGCGGTGCCCCTGGAAGGACTGTGGTGCCCCTGCCCCTAGGGGTGCTCATGGGCCCAACAGGTCCGTTGTGCCCCTGACAGGCCTGTCGTGTATACTTGCTAGACCTGTGGTGCCCCTACTTCCTGGCAGGCCTGTGGTGCCCCTGGCGGGCCTGTGGCGCCCCTACAAGGCCGTAGGTGCCCCTGAAAGGTTTGTGGTGTCCCTTAAAGGACTTTGGTGTCCCTGACAAGCCTGAAGTGTCAAGGACAGACCCTTTAGACGCCAGGGTCAAGTTCGTCGGACTGACAACGATTTGCTTACCTGATAACGTTCCTGGTAAGTACTCACTACTCAGCGTCCACAACATATATACACATAGCATCTATGCACATAGCACATTCATATATACTTGCTTACAATTGGTAAATGTGGTTGTGGCTAAGAGTTAAGATACTGACTAAAAATAAAAAAAATAAAAAACTGAAAATGGGGGCACCACCAAAATGAAGTGGACGAAATCCGTTGAGTTTTTAATTTTGGGTATAGGTAGGGGCACCACTTCGATTCATGACCCTCCCCTTGGAGTTTTCCTGGATCCGCCCCTGCGGCCAATATCGCAGACTTCCAGCCAACTGCATCGTCAATCGCCAACGAACGGCTGATTTTAATCTGGAATGTCACCGTATGCCATCTTACTTTCATTCATTCGGACCGATAGTGAAAGAGCGCGCGTAAAATGCAGCCTTTACGCCGGCGTCCAGGGGATATCGGCAGCCATCGTCTCGCGCGATTGGGATCGATTGGGATCCTCACAGAGGCCCCTGTCGGTCACTACGAGCTGTCTCGGGTGGGCGGCAGGGTGGGCAACGGGGAGTGATGTGGCATGACTTCTGCTTGCTTGCATGTTGTCTATATACACCTCTCCTCTCAAATCTCCTGCATGCAGCCTGCTCGTGGCCGTCCTGCTATTGCAAATGCATGTCAGGTGGCCCGGACCGCCGGACGGGATATTTCGGCAAGGGAGGAGCTGCGGCCCCCTTAGACCCGAGTGCTGGGCCCATCAGACGCTTCGTGGCGCTGAGGAACACGTCCCGACTCGCGGTCAACTCGCAGACCCAGTCATGGGCTAAATGACAGGGAGGAGATGCGGCCCCCTCAGGACGCGAGTGCTGGGCCCGCCATTGTGTGGACCACGTCCCGACTCCGTCCAACTCGCATCCCCAGCCATGGGCAAATGGTCACCGCTCGGGACGCTGAGCAGCGCGCGGTGGGGGCGGGGCTCTTGGGCATCCCACGTTGGGTGCTCCTGAGGTCCCTCCTCAACTCTGACCACGACCCCGTGGTCGAGTACCAAGAAGGGCGGCCCTCGAGTGGAGGGTACCGGTCGTCGACT